ATGGCCATTTCTGGTTTCACTCTTAAGGAGCAAAGCTTCTTTCTCTGCAAATAAATGGTGGCAAGAGAAGATGCCCTGTTGGCGTGCCATCTTGCGGTCATTTTTATGAATGCTGACTGCATTTTTCAGCTTCCATATGGACTGAACTTCTGTCCTAGTCTCTCTTCTCTGACGAAATAAAAAAAAAACAATGCTATCGAGTTGATACAGTAGATCTCGCAATTCATTACGTGATAATTATCGATAATATTGAAAGTTCACATTATCGACTATTGATAAGTTTTCAACAAAAAAAAAATTCAATTCACCGGATATTTTTTTTTAATTATTAAAATAATTATTGATGAATTTGAATGAAAATGTTTATTAATCTATGTAAATAGTTTATACTTTAATTAATTTAAAAAAAGTTTATAATTCAGACTACAGATACTAGCACACCATTCGGATATTTAACGAACTATCAGCCACGTCTCAACTTCATGGCAGCGATAGCTTGTTTAGACTTGTCGTGAAATATTTTTTTGTATTGAACATAAGTTGAATTGTTTTCAGTGTATATTTTTGAAAATAGTGCAAAATGGTGAGTTATAATTCAATCTCTTCAATTAAATTTATTATATTCATTAGTTAAGAATAAATTCATGGATTATATCATCCTTTGTGACTAGCTCCAAATATAACTGATGCACGTCAAAATTTTTATCCACATGTTCTAATTAAATATTCTGTTATTTTATGTATATTAATTATTAACTTAAATTGAATATGAAAGTATCAAAAAAATTCTAAACAATTATATGCATTTATTTATCAAAACATGTAAATAACCACTTCTTAGTCACTCAATGACGGATCCCCAACCTCTTTTGATGTTTTAAGAACTTTGAGTATAAATAAAATTTAATTAAAAATTCTCAAAATAATTGAATGTTCAATCCTTTTTAATGATATTTCAGCCACTAAGATTGGATATAAAGCGTAAGCTAACAGCTAGGTCTGACAGAGTCAAAAGTGTAGACCTCCACCCGACAGAACCATGGATGCTATGTTCATTATATCAGGGAAATGTAAATATATGGAATCACGAAACACAAACATTGGTCAAAACATTCGAAGTATGTGATTTACCAGTGAGAACTGCAAAATTTGTGCCCAGAAAAAATTGGGTTGTCACTGGGTCTGATGATATGCAAGTTAGAGTATTTAATTATAATACTCTAGAAAGAGTTCATGCTTTTGAAGCTCACAGTGATTATGTTAGATGTATTGCTGTACATCCTACACAGCCTTTCATCCTGACTAGTAGTGGTGAGTATTTTTAAACTATAAGTTAATTTAATAAAGCCATTCTCAGTTTTTTTTTTCGAAATTTACATTTCGGATGTTGATAAAGTTCTAAATTTATGCTCTATTAAAAGCTGATAACCAAGAGTGTTATTTTCATTGAACAAAGCAATTTTTAGGATAACGAAATGTTTATAAACAATTTCTTAATGATGAAATTAATTTCACAGATGATATGTTAATAAAATTATGGAACTGGGAAAAAGCATGGCGTGGACAACAAGTATTTGAGGGCCATACACACTACGTCATGCAAATAGTTTTCAATCCAAAAGATAATAACACATTTGCAAGTGCTTCACTTGATAGAACGGTGAAGGTATGGCAATTGGGATCATCTACTGCTAATTTTACTTTAGAGGGTCATGAGAAAGGTGTTAATTGTGTAGACTACTATCATGGAGGTGACAAACCGTATTTAATATCTGGAGCTGACGACAGATATGTCAAAATATGGGATTATCAAAACAAAACATGTGTTCAAACTCTTGAAGGCCACACACAGAATATTTCTGCAGTATGTTTCCATCCTGAATTACCAATAGTTCTCACTGGCTCTGAAGATGGAACAGTCAGAATTTGGCATGCTGGAACTTATAGGCTAGAATCATCTCTTAATTATGGATTTGAAAGAGTATGGACAATTGCAAGCATGCGAGGCTCAAACAACGTTGCTATAGGTTATGATGAGGGTAGTGTAATGATCAAAGTTGGCCGAGAAGAACCAGCAGTTTCGATGGATTCTGTTGGAGGAAAAATAGTATGGGCAAGGCATAGTGAAATTCAACAAGTCAATTTAAAAGCAATGGGTGAAGAAGTACAAGATGGAGAAAGATTGCCTTTAGCAGTGAAGGATATGGGTGCTTGTGAAATTTATCCTCAAACTATCCAACATAATCCTAATGGAAGATTTCTGGTCGTCTGTGGTGATGGAGAATATATCATTTATACTTCTATGGCTTTAAGAAATAAAGCTTTCGGACAAGCTTTAGAATTTGTGTGGGCTGCTGATTCAAGTCAATATGCAGTACGTGAAAGTTCATCAGTTGTTAAAGTTTTCAAAAATTTCAAAGAAAAAAAAGCTTTAAAACCTGATTTTGGGGTTGATGGAATATTTGGTGGTTATTTATTAGGAGTATCGTCAGTCTCAGGCTTATCTTTCTTTGATTGGGATACTCTCAAATTAATTAGACGTATAGATATTCAACCAACACATGTATACTGGGCCGAAAATGCTTCTCTTATAGCTTTGGCAACCACAGATCAGTACTTCATTTTGAAGTATCACAGCGAAGCAGTAAGCAATGCAGATGAAAATGCAGAAGATATCGAAGATGCATTTGAAATGGTAGCTGAAATGAGTGAAGTCGTTAAAACTGGATTATGGGTTGGAGATTGCTTTATTTATACAAACAGTGTGAATAGAATTAATTACTTCGTAGGTGGTGAAGTTGTAACTATTTCACATCTAGATCGACCGATGTATCTTCTTGGATATGTTCCTAGAGACAACAGGCTATACCTTTGTGATAAAGAATTAGCGATCGTCTCGTATTCATTATTATTATCAGTCTTAGAATATCAGACAGCTGTAATGAGAAAAGACTTTGAAACAGCTGATAGAGTTTTACCGACAGTTCCAAAAGAACATCGTACTCGTGTAGCTCATTTCTTAGAAAAACAAGGCTTTAAAAAGCAAGCTCTTGATGTTTCTACAGATCCAGAACATAGGTTTGAACTTGCATTGGCTCTTGGAAATTTAGAAACCGCACACATTCTTGCTAAAGAAGCAAACAGTCAACAAAAATGGAGACAGTTGGCCTCTCTTGCAACACAGAAAGGAAAATTGAGATTAGCTCAAGAATGCCTACATCACGCACAAGATTTCGGTGGATTGCTTTTACTTGCTACGAGTACCGGGAATGCAGAGATGATTGAAAAGCTTGGCGATGCCGCGGATGAAAGTGGCAAAAATAATATATCTTTTCTTTCGAATTTTTTACTTGGTGACGTTGATAAATGTCTCGACATTCTGATTAAAACCGACAGGATTCCTGAAGCAGCATTCTTCGCAAGAGCTTATGCACCTAGTAAAATTTCTGATGTTGTTAAATTATGGAAAGAAAAATTATCAGCAGTGAGTGAAAAAGCTGGACAAAGTTTAGCTGATCCTGAACAATATGAAAATTTGTTCCCAGGATATAGAGAGGCTCTTGAACTTGAACAATTTTTAAGAAAAGAGAATACAAAAAAAATACCTGCTTCTGAGTTTCCAACATTGAAGGTAAATATAAAAAATTTTTGATATTATTATTTGTTAGGTTTTATTTTATTTTTATCATCAATCATAGTCATAAATTTCAAAATATTTAAAAAAGAAATAGACATGTTAATTTCTACATTTTAAATAGCTAGTACTTATACGATATTCTAGAGCATTTATGATGATTGCGTAACAATAAACCGATTATATTTATGTAGTGTGAATTATATCGAAACAAATCCATTACACAGTACAATCAATCTGTAATCAATGGTTATGAATGTAATAATAATTGCATTGCTTTATAATCTGTATCGTTTTGCTATAATTTTATTGCTGATCATAGCTACATTGTAAACGCTTTACATATCGTCACGGTTTTGAAGATATTTATTAAAATTGAATGACATTTTGAACCTATTTAAAATATTACCGTTATTATAAGTAATTAAACAATTAAATTTTATGTAAACACTCATAATAATTTTGTAGCTAAATATTGAGAGAAAACCGGCTGAAGAAATGATGGCAGCCAAGGAAGCAGGTCAATTTGTTCCTGCCAGTACTAGTGGATCTAAAAAATCATTGTCAGACTCAACAGAAAATCTAAGAAATCGTTTGCAAGATCTTGGCATTGATGTTACATCAGAATCATCTAATCAGACTAATCCAAAAAATACTAGTACAGTACGTCCATTGACGATGGATGACGATTTGGATTTAGATATAGAAATTGATGAAAACATTGATACAACTGTGAGTAAAAATTTTATTTTTTAATTTCAATGTAAATTATTTCGATTCCATAAATTTCTCGATTTTTACTAATAAAATTTAGGATTAAATATAACTAAATGTTCAATTCATAAACGTAATAGAGTTGAATTTAAAATAAATAACGCAATATTTATTTTAACAATGATTATTGTTATAATACTTTTAATGGAAATTTAAAGGGTATAATTAAAAACGTAGTCAATATTTTTAGTTAAAATGTATTGTTGAAAAAAGTGCATTGTGATGAAATTATTCGAAAGTAAAATAATTATTAAAAGCTTTAACAATAAATTTATAATAATAAATATTATTTTTATTTATTAAAATTTAATGTAAAAAATCGAAAACTTTTCCCTATTATTAAAATTTTTATTTTCTATAATTAAATCGAGATAATTTTTCAATTAAAATCAGATTTTAAAAGTTGTTTCCATGAAGGGAAGAGATTTTGTTACAATAATAATACAATAAAAAAGATAAATAATACATAAAAAAAAATATCATAAAAAACAAAAAAAAAATACAAATTAAAGCGTGACAAAACGTGTAGCTCAGCAGAGTTCACCGTTCCCTAGCGTCAGTCGGGTTAGTATGTTTTGGCAACAAAGCTGTAAACAAAATACAGCGTGAATGCTGATGAATAAACAACCTGAGGGATTTGCGAAAGCTTTCGAAAGAAACATGGTAGGGTATGCTGGCTGATACCCTTGTTACATTCGATTTGTATCGATTACATGCTATAACAATAATGATCTACTCATGATATTTACGAGACTAATGTGAGTTTATTAATGTACAAATCCCAACCAAAAACATACAGCATACATTTTCATTTATCTTAAATAAAATTTTATTACAATCAATGCTATTATTTCAATACTAAAAAAAAAATTTCCTTTTTTCCAGGATGTAATTCTTGATGAAGATCTTCTAGAGGATGACTAATCGTTTGTAAAAAATCATAAACCATCTTTATTAAATTGATAGCCATTCCTCAACATTTTATTTGTCACTAAAGTATTAAGATAAACTCATTTAAAAATATGAAAAAAATCTTTATACATATAATATGCACTTATATACAAAGTACATAGGCGATTGTATTGTAAGAATTAAATATTGTTAATATAAAAAAAAAATTAAAAATTAACGCTTGTTGCGTTTAAAATTATTCTTATTTTAATAACATCATTTTAATTATATTGCGTTTGTATACTTATTACCAATACCTAAATAATATTATTATATATAAAAGATATAGATATTTATATTATGCATCCTTTTTACCTTTATTTGGTGTACAATTTCTGCCTAGGTTGTAGGTCAAATGAGAGATGAAACCTAGCATTTGGAGTATGAATAATTATATTTGATGAGCTCAGAAGTGTGACAGATTGTCGAAGAGTTAAACTTGGTATCAGATTTTCTTGTCTATTCCCTTGTCTTAAACAGCTGGTATATTTCACACGATCCCATACCTGCTACCAGACTCTGCAACATGACACTTAACATAGGACAATAACTAACGTGAAGATGAGTCAATCATTAACAAGAATAAGCTTAACACAATTTACAAACTTTTGTGTAAGTTATGATACACGATCCATGTCAACGTATAATGACGACTATTTTTAATAGAATTATAATCATTGATCTTGTATTAAACAAAAACAGCTGTATGGAGAGATGGAGAATTATTTAAATATGAAAATTAATATATGGGTTAAGAGATAATATGAAAGAAGAGTATGATAGAAAGATGATGTTAATGTAAATAAAAAGTACAAAAAGTGTGTCTTTCAGTTTTCAGTTTATGGTGTCACTGGAGACAAATTGTTGTCAGCATTTCAAGATCCTGCAATCCAGCACGTGTCTGTTAATCATCAAAGCTGCGACTGCACTGACTTTTTTGTATTGTAAGTTTCATTTTCATATAACGAATGACTCGATGATTCATACACAATTATCACTTCTTACCTCTTTTGTTGTAAAGAGGAAAATAATTATATTAAAATAATGATGAAGTCATTTTTAAAAATCATTCTTATATGAAGGACTTTTTAATGACAAATGAATCAAACTACAGAATAATCATTTTAAAAAACAAACTGCTTAATTCTATTAAAATTATAAACGACAATTTATAATCATTAGACCAATTTTATGTATTTAAGCTAACTATCGTGACACTATTGATAATTAATTACAGTTATACATTATGTAACAATAATTTCTATAAAAAAGTAAGGGTGTATACGATATAAGTTGGCATTGACAAATTTGCCTAAAAAATTAACAAATCTGAATATATAAACTTAGTGACTGTTGACTGAGTACATATGACTACAATACGTGAAATCACAGGCTGTTGAAGCAGTGTCGCAATTTAACAAAAGTCTTGAAAGATTTACACCCTACACCCACGCATTTACATCCTTAGTTAAAGTTTGATCGCGGCAACAAGTGATGTCTCGTCATATGTACGGAAGAAAAGGAACAAGTAAATGGAAAATCTTAGGGGAAAAAAGAAATGTCAAGCGATATGTTGTCTTCAACGGTCCGCCCGCTCTTAAGAGAGAAAACAGAAATAGCGTCGTTGACATCTGACTACAAATTACCCGCGTCATTGCGCTCCAACTGGCTTCTTAGTAAACGTAGCAGTGAGAAGTCGAGTCTCGTTGTAATACTTGTATATCCTAAAGAAATAAAAAAAATGAAAGAAGATAAAAACACCAAAGACGATCTCCGTTTAGCATCATTAACTCTTAATGATTCCAAGTGAGAAGTAAAATAGTGATGACGTGCAAATAGGCCGCGTGTAAATGACATAAATGAATTTCTTTGGTAATCAATCACGTCTTTCTCCAAATTTCATTAGATTGCTTTGAAGTTAATTGTGCATTTAACAGCTCTTATAATTTATTGAATGATGCATTGATGAGAAAATGAATAAATTAAGTAAAAGATACATTTCTTTAAATACTAACATTTGATTCATTGCCAAATCATTGATAATTTTTTTGTTAATTATCATAGTAGTTACAGTTATAATGGATTTATCATTGTTACATATTCCTGATAATTTTATTTTAAATCGAAATACTCCATTTTCAAGCAAAATTGAAGATAGTAATTCTGACCATTTAATTCTACGAAAAAAAGGCTGTAACTTGGTATCTTTTAGATGGAAAGCTATGATCCAATACACTATCAACAGTATAACATATGTATTGTAACGTAATAATGCACTGCCAGGGTCTCCACGATCGGTCGTTATTTAGCTCGAGCCAGTTATTTATGTCCGATTTAATGCTCGCAACTCGACCATCAAGAGAACAGTGAAAACCCTGTTGCATTTAGAGCTAAACGTTACCATTAAATCAATGCTCGTAGAATGTAGATTTTTTTTTATAAATAATATTCTTGAAATGAATTTTTTGATTCATTGTTTTTTGCTTTTTATTGGCCTTTTAGAGTCTATATTGATTCATCAAGATCATATTTTATAATTCATTTTATCATGATTATTTGCAATAATTATGTTTGAATTTAAATTTAATTCTGCTGATTATGACTGATTTTTCTATATAAATGGTTTAAAGGCACCGAAAAGTATGAAAAATTTAATGTCACAAAAAAAACTGACATCTTTATTAGTTATTAAGAGTTCTAATATAAAGGATATTAAGATCTCAATTAAGTCACACTTTTTTTTTAGATTTAAAAGTCTTTTCATGTAATAGTTGAAAACAGATCATTAGACTTCGTCGTAATTTATTTCATTCTTCCTGTTCCTTATTTGAATTTTCTTCCAAGTATTTCCGTTTCTGTTAAAGATAAAAAATTTCAGCAGAATAAAAAGTCATGTAATAAAAAAAGTTATAATAAATATTACATTTTGATGATCATATTAAATAAATCAAAATAAATCCAGAGTATTTCATTCGCTTCATAAAAAATACTATATACATCTTAAGTATTAGAAAAAAATTAACTATTTAAAATAAAAAAAAGTGCTTTCGATAACCGACGGCACGGGGCTTTCAGCTGTTGCACATCATTCAACCCGCGTATTTTACGTACTAGCTCTTCTGACTTACGACTTTTTGAGTTAGGCGTTTAGGTCTAATTTTGTTTCTATGGCCACCATGTGAGCGATTGGGTTTGTAATCCGTGAATCCATTCGGAAACCCCTTTTAAAAGTAGCTCAAGAGGTATTAATAGGTAAAAATTAAACATTACATAATAGAAAAAATAAATAAATAAACAAAAAAAGCTTAGATGCATCAGTACAGAGAAACTAATGTTTTTAATGTTGAGTTACTTAGCTCAACATTTTATTTCTTGAGGTTTTCCTATCAGCTGCCAAACTTTTAACTTCATAGATAGCTTTTTGAAATTGAGCTTTTGCCCAGGTTAAAAAAAACCTGAATACCATTACTGGGGTAACATATGAGAGTCACTGATATGGGAGGAGCTTTGAAGAGTTCACTCCTCCTTGCTAATTGATTATCTTTTTTTATTAAAGTTATCACTTTCGTTCTAATATTAACAATTCGTTTATATCTATTATTTAGTCAATTATTTAAGCTTTTCATAAAATCTTGAACAATTGATATAAACTCTTGTAATCATCAGCCTCATTTTACCCTCACATTTAAAATTATAAATTTAAACATTCGATATTAATTGATTTTTTTAATTAATAATCTCTAAATGCATCTACTATAGCACATAGAATTTTCAAAAAACTTCTCATTCATTTAATTCACATTAGCATGAACTTATATCAACATTATTTTATCAACGCTCGAAAAATAATGTATGATATATTTCTGAAAAGTAACTGCTACACATCACTTATACGGAGTATACAATATACATTCTATTCTTTCTTATAATTATTTCGTAATACTCACTAGAGTGATTAATTTTGCGCAGAATATTATCACGTTTCGTTTACAATGAGTGTCATATCTTACATTCCTTAACAAAGTCGTAGTAAACAATTGCTTGAGTACAAATAATAAATGTATACGTTGTTAATGAACTACAATTATCAATTATCAAGCTATACTTATATATTTATGTCCATTTTATAACATAACAAAGCTCCATTAAACAACTGAACATATTTAAAAACATCAATGAACAATAAATACCAATGGATAAGAATACTTTTTTGATAAACTTACATACAAACCTCTAAATTGTCATTTATTTTATTTATTATTTAGTAAAAATTTTAACAACTCTAAAAGTATACTTTTCTCCAGTTTAATGGATTTATAACGAATTATTTCATTTAAATAAGCACATCTCCGTCGCTTTTAACACGATGAAATAAATACTAAAAGTGTATTTTTTGAATGATTGTTTGGATTTTAAAAATTTAAATGACCTATTAGAGAATCGCAAAAAATTGCAATAAAAAACATTAGCTACGAGCAATAAATAAGTGAATTTTATTCAATAATTTGTTTCTAATTCAAATACATTATGATATTCATAACAAATAAATCATCAGTGTGTAGCACATATATGTTTATTCTACTTGATAGCTTTTACATTAGAAAGATATGTATGTAAAGTGTGAAATACAAGATAATTCTATCATCAAGATCGGTTCGATAAAATTTTCGGTTTATTATTTCTGTCATGATTCTGCTCGCTTTCCCACGATCTTTTAACTCTGGTTAAAATCTTATTCACGTTATTAAGTTGATTTTATAATAATAATTAATACTCTTAAAAATAAAAATTAAAAAGTAACGTTATATGATTTACAGCAACTTTACTAACATCACAATTACTTTTTTTTCTTATCAGAAGCAACATATATTTATTTATTTATTTATTTATCTTTCAATCAATCATTAACTTCATTAGCCAATTAATTTATTTTCTAAATTATTAATTAATTTTGCTAATTATTCACTGATTTTTATTACTCACGTATTGTTCTTTTGAATTATTTCACTCCACTTTGATACTTGTTACAACTTACGTATAAGTGAAAATGTTTTTCATTGAAATGTCTTCTGTTAAATATCAAATCAACTACGACGTTGATATTTCATTTGCACAAGAGAATTAATGTTGAGAATACGTGTGTAATCAACGGAAATAGTCATCAAATCACGCACGCCGACGGCTTAGTTGACGATGGATAGCCACACTTTTTTCTTTTATTATTTCTTTATATATCCTTAAGATATTATTTTGATGGAAAAACACTACTCAGATCACTGCAATATTTAACTTCACATGTAACACTTTGGACGTGATTGAAATTCCATACTTGAAAATCCTGTTGACGTGACATTACTAGGCATCGAAGACCCAACCATCCCACTTCCAACACTAATTGTTCCTAGACCAGCTGATGATACCGCTGAACTTCCTGGTTCTTCTTTAACATTAACCACTAGAAAACAAATATAAATATCAATAAATCATATGAATAGACTATTGAGGATTTTAAATTTATAAATTATTTCATTTCAGTTTAGTTAAAATATAAATTTCATTGTATAAGTCATAAAATAAAACTAGTCTGAATGATAAAAAATAATTCTAAGTATCCCGATGAATGTTTAATGTAACATACGTGAAAAAATGAATAACTTGATGTATTTTTTTTTAGCGAGAAAACTTACTGTCTGACCAGTAGGAACACCGTCCAGACATAGCATCTGTGGTTACTGAATTATCGTGTCGTCTGGCACAAGCAGCAAAGTTGGCTCCAAAAGAGTTGGAAGTCATTGCTGAGGGTGAGTTAGAACTATTACCTGAAACATCTATGTAATTTCCTTGAAAGGCTTTGACAGACCAATAGGTTTATCCTTATGTTGATTTAAAATTTATTGACATGACAGAATTGAGACTCACCTAGTGAATTAAATTGTCCATATCCATTCATTGTTGGAATCTGCATTGATTGCATAGGTTGAAGTTGAGGCTGAAGCTAAAAATAAGCGAATAAAATTATAAAATCCATTTCTGCTCCAAAAATTTTTCGAATAAAATTATCAATTTAATATTTTAAAAAATTATAAAATAAATAATTAAAAACTCACAGCTTGACAGTGGCTATAGGGCAGTTGAGGTTGCTGGAGACTCCATCCACTAGAATTTCCCAATACATAAAAATTAAATCAGCTTTAAGTAATAAAAAAATGGTATTTAATACGATAATTAATTTTAAATCAAAGCTGAAGTTATTATTTATAAAATATAATTAAATTTACAGAAGTCATGATAAAAAAAACCTAATTAATTACCTAGTATCGTATCTTGTGTAAGCAGAGGGAGCATAGGAAGGTGGAGAATGACTGAAAATATTCCTAGTAGGTCCTAGATGAATATGGCTTGGAGGAAATGCATCATTGAATACAGATTTATGATATGGTGCTGCTCTGTAGGGTCTCTTCATTCGTTTTCGTCGTTTGAAATTACCATTTTCAAACATGTCATTATACTGAGGATCTACGAAATCCATTTGAATATTTTTTTAATAAAAAAAATTTATTTGAGGTTGGCTTGATAAAAAAAAAACGTGAAAATGACATAAAAATTACCTAAAACCCAATAATTGCCTTTTTTCTCTCCTCCACCTTCTCTTGGTACTTTAACGAAGCACTCATTAAGTGAAAGATTATGCCTAATAGAATTTTGCCATCCTTTTTTATTATTCCGATAATAAGGAAACTTAGTGGTAATGTAAGAATAAATTTCACTTAGAGTAGCTCGCATGTTAGGACTATGTTTAATAGCCATGGCTATAAGAGCTACATAGCTGTAAGGTGGCTTGACAGATGTGGAAGAAGCTTCACTACTATTTGATGCAGGAACAGTTGTACTAGCTTCTGTATTGCCACTAGGAGCACAGGAAGTGTTTGGTGTTGATGTATTACTGCCTGTTGAAGTAGGAAGTATTCCTGGGCTTGCTCCTTTACCTTCTAGAATATTACCCAAGTGAATGGAAGTTGAATGCATTGAGATGACTGATCGAGGACTGTGATGATCATGATGAAGATCATGATGATGAGAGTTTATTAAAGGGTGTGATGCTAAACTCTTAAAGTTCGAGACAGAGATGTCTAAATCTTTAGGAGGAGAAGTCATACATGTTGAAGACATCTCAGATGCGAAACTGCTTACTGAAATAATAAAAAAATAAAGTTAAATTTTTTCAAATTTAAATATTACTAATACAAATAATTTTTTTTTTAATTAAAATTAGATCTTGTTGATTTTCTAGATAATATTATCAATTAGCAATTCAAGGAAACAAAGACAATATAAATCGATTAATTGTGGACGTCAGAATTGCAAGAATCACGATATTTCCTGGAAGTCGTTGAGCTGCTAACAATTAGGTCATTAAATGAAATACCTTGGAACCTGAAGCCCACCCATACTCTCAAATTTTTGGCTTGACTCTTTACTACCACTTTGTGTTTGAATAACATATCCCATCTTTGAAATATTTTCATCAATATTTATAAATATTTCAATAATTCATAACATGAATGTATTTCTATTTAATAATTAATGAAGCTTTGATAAAGTGATTCCAATGATGTGTTATAATTTTATTTCAGTAGATTTTCTGTTGACTGGTATATTTTTTAAGATGAATCTCAAGCAATAAATTTAAAGTCATTAAGAAATGAGTTAAATTTAGTGGCAGAATGAAATGATAAACAAGACTTTATTTTCGTAACAGTCCTTCGCACCATGCAGTACGTAGTCACGTTTCATCGAACGAAAATCGAGCCTTGTTGAGACTCTATAGTTTATACCAGTCATAGGGAAAAGTATCTCGAACGTGCTTGCAACTCGAAATGCTAAGGGACATTTCTACTATGCTTTATATATATTTTAAAACCACAATGATTTACTAGTAGAAAAGCTATTTATCTTGATGGAAAATTCTTTCTATTTTCATAACATGTATAATGTGCTTTCTAACTTCTCTACAAAAGAGACACACTGTGTAGCACTAAATAATTATTAGAATGTATTTTGATCCAAAAACTAATAATAATTCAGCATCTACTAATAGCTATCACCTTTTAAAACATCATTTTTTAGTCAAACAAAAGTGATGTTCATCATCACATCTAAAAAACTAGGTAGAATTATTGATGAATAAATTTAAAAATGCATCTTTTATTCATACTTAGATTAAAAATGAGTTAATAAATGAAACATATACTTGTGATATCTTGGAAAATTTTACCATCACTACTAAGATATATGTATTATAAATTAAAAGTATTATTTATTAACATGAAGATAAATTTAAGAAATAACATCAAAATCAACACCAGGATTTATTATTGAAAACTTTCAAGTTTAAATTACATTGGAAAAAGAAAAATATTGTTTCGGATGAATGGAATAAAGTAAAGATACATAAATATAGAGTTAGGAAAAATCTTTTTTTAGATAAAGTAAATAAAAATCGTAATCATGATGTCATAACCATCCCTGATCCACCTCAAGGATCATCCGCGTGCCTCTCGAGAATCTCATAAATGTTTTGAAAACAAGTAACGAAGTTAGCTCACTGTCATAACACAGTTTTTTTTTTTTTTATGTTTTGGTTAAAGTTGAAGAAACTTGTAAGCAAGTTTTAGCGGCAAAATAAAAATTCATTATAAGATCTGTTGAATGGTTAATCAAATGGTATCAGGGTCGAAGGTTGTACTCCAGTGACTAAACTCTAGAGAATATATTTAACATGCATTCCTAAAATGCTGTCACTTCGACGTTTAACTTTGATAAGCGAAATATAATACATTAAATGACATCACAAAGCTTCACAAGCGAGTTGACATACGCTGACGAGACAAGAGGAAGACTCATCGCAACATTTTTTTAATTATTATTATCAATATCATTATTATTGTAATTATTACAATTATTATTGTCTTTCTATTATCACTCTGTAATGTAATCATCAATCTCAAGGACAATCTTTTAAGCAATTTTTAATTTATAAATTTTAAGATTTATTAATAATAACATTCAAGTTTGCTTTAATTAGTCACGTTTTTTAATTTCAATATTTAGACAAATCGACAACTAAAATTTCAACAGTTTGATAAAATTGATTGTGTAATAATTTTTCAATATTTATGAACAAGTATTTCAAGTCTTTTTAAATACTTGCTCCATTTTATTTACAATACCATCTGTTTACAATAATTCTTAAACTTAAGTTCATTCTATTGATGGAATTAACATCCAAATGATTCATTTTATTTGTTAAATATTTAAATGAAATATTTCAATACTATTATTACATTTGGGAAAGAATGTAATGACCAACGCTATTACATGAAAAGTACTCAGTAGATTATGTAGCAGAAAAGGATAGAAGAAGCTCCAGGATCTGGCATCATTTCTATCTCACCCTGTTGACTGCTCTTTTGAGCACGTGCTGCCAAGGGAGATACAATTAGCCCAACTGCCTTAGGATATTTGTAATTTGACCTATGATCCCTTTAACTTGCTCAATGTCGTCTCGATAAATCAATTATACCTTTATATGTACATATAAATTATCTCGTATCTCTCCAGACCTGATATCTAGTGTTTATTGTCTAATTTCTAAATAGCTCATTTTGCTCCAATTTCAGCTAGAAAATCGTACTATCAATTAATTAATTAATTAATCGACATTAAAGACTTTTTTTATTTCAAATAATGGAGATCATCATGGCTAGATATTTGATAATTAGATTTTATTCTTTTTCTGAATGTAATAATTTTCAATTGGTTGATAAGAATTTTCTATTCTATTTTGGTTCAATGTTTTTAATTCATTTATTAACTGATCAGTGTAGATTCTACTCTATAGAATGCAGTCATAGTAAAGTAAAAAAAGATTTACAGTTATAACACACGTCGAGTAACCGAAGGGACTTCAGGGGCGGTTTGCTGAACTCATATATGCCTCAGGGGCCTTATAGCTTATAACACACGATGTAATATGACACCTTAGTTAACAGAAACGGCAACTCTTCGTTCAGTTCTCTGGACGCATATTCTAGCCTTTGCAGACCTGCACTTCATAAAATCGAATAAATGAATGAATATTTTGGACCATTTACTTCAAGTTCATGTTAAATATCAGTAGAGACATTTTTTTCATTGTGATCTAGATATTAAGGAAAAATAATTTTGATGAGTATGCAAAGTTGGAGAATTAGTTGTAAGTAAAATTAAATAAATGATGGAATATTAATGGGAAACAGTGAAAAGGAAGATGATTTGATATGTAATTTTTCCTCAGCAGAATCTGGAACTTAGGCCAATGGGTCATCATTGACATGATAGCTCATCTCGTATTATCGACTCAAAAGAGCCAATCGACGTTCTGAATCTCGACCTCGACATAATGTAAAAATTGGTTGCAAAAAACATCTAAGTCATGTTTTCAAGTCTATATATATTAGTAATTTTATACTAATCTTCCCCATAGTCTTGAAATTTTTGATACACCAGGTTCAGAAGAGTTTTAATTTAATTTAAATATAAATAAAAAATGAAAATAAGTAACTATTTTCAAATATTATGGTGAAATTTAATTGATATAATTATATCTTTTACTTTACTTAAACCTGAAAAATTATAAAAAAAAAAAAGTTGAATAGGATTGAGAAATTTCTGATGAAATTTTTGTATGGTTTGAAATCATTATCAGAAAAAAAAAATGTGACGAATTCAATTTGATAGCAACTGGTATTTTAATCTTAGCCTGAATAGAAAAAACAATGATGATAAAAATAGCTGGCAATTCTTAAAATATGATCGAATATATTTTAATTAATGAGTTGAATAAAACGAATTATAATATACGTAATATGAATTACGATAAAAAGCTATACTTGTATCTTCTTATCATGACTGATTTGCCCCAAGTATACCCTTGTTTACTACACATTTATAATTACACATATCAGTTAGGAAGATTAGACTCACGACCCGATTCTAAAATAAATAAACAATGTCAAAGCCTTTTAATTTTGATGATCTGTAGTTTTAGTTATGAATTTTTGCAACAATATATTTACATATCAATATGTAAATAATAACAACTTAATAATTTGTAATAATTAAATAAACAGTAATAATTTTCAATTTTCTACCATCAAAAACAAACAATCATCATCCAACTGTAATAGTTTTCTCGTTGAATCTTCTGTAGTCAAACGCATGTTTCATTTTGAGCTCTATCATCTTCTCTCAAGAATCTCCAAATGTGCGGCGTTGGTGCCATATATCAGGTCAACGTAAAGCCGCTTCTCCAAGATTAGCGACCCGTAATTCTTGTCTTTCATTCCTCTATATCTCTACGTATCTCTTTCTATTGCCCACCTAACTCCCTTTCTTTTCCACCCCTTCAATTTATTTGTTATATTTTTACTTTTTTAATTATTCATCAAGCTTTTATTAGAAATTTCAGTGTGAAATACTTAATCTGATCATTTAGAAAATATTTGTCTTCTTGGAGACAGAATTTTATTTTATGATTTCATCCATTAATACTCATAACCATTCATTTCAATTTTATCAAGTTTTTCCAATAGTAATCACGATAGACTAATTAATAATTAATTGAAGCTATTGAATTTTTTAACTACTGCAAAGCAATTATTTTTCAATCTCTGATAATAATATCAGAGTAAAAAAAAAACCTAATAAAATATCTTGACTTGCTGATTAGTAAATTCTTCAGCCAAAAACTACAGATAAAAAAATCTTGATAAAGTATTCGTATCAAATATTCTTGCAATTTTTTTCTCCTGTCTTTATCTTAAATGACATATTTGCGATTAGCATATAAAATATGAGGTAGGTAACATGAGCCAACGCATGAAATCTCTTATCTATCTTTCAATTGCTTCCGACTGCACAGGAGGAAAAATGAGAAGACCTAGGGCTACGATAGCCAAATGATGCTGACGAATAGGTATTTAGTATATCTGAATATTGAGACTGTCAATGAAATGGAAACTCAAGGATAAAAATCAGATCATCAAAGAATAAATGAAGAGAATTGAATAAATCCAAACTTTATATATAGAATAGCACAGCTACAAAGCGGAAGTATCGATTTAAGTTTAGATGATTTACAATCATCATCAAGGATCTCCAAGGATGAAGTGGATTTGAAAATAACATCAGCGAGTGTTTCAACAACTCTCCAACGCAGCTCATACGTCAGGGAGAGTGTGACTAAATGTCGTGAAGAGAGATCAGGGTACGCACGCTCCCGCGGTCCATCATGACTATTCATCTCCCTCGTCGACGTTCCACTTCACGTATTATTAGAACGTAAAACGCGACGACGAGAAAACCAACCAACTTTTCTATTGGTCTTTTATTAACTAGTGTTATAATCTAATATGATGATGTCTTTATGTCCGACACATTCATTACCAATGCTATAAATAATATCTAAACGGGTTTATTTAACCCTTATATTTCTTCTTGTTGTGCGTACTAAACTTGCACTGTAAATCTAATTTGATAATTATTGTTTTCTTCAATACAGCTTCTTTCATATGTTTTCATCTCTATCTTTGGATCAGATTAAACCAAATAAATCTTGCTTTTCTTTTTCATTTATAAAAATATTTTTTATACAAATAAAATTATTCTTACCTTGATGAATTACTGGAAGAGTTGATGTTGGTGATAACTGATACGGTTCTTGCTTAATTTTCAATGAGTGTGGAGAATCTTGTAAACTACTGAGACTTGGACTACCCAAACTGCCATTATTCTGCTGTATATCCTAAAGAAACAATTAATCATAATAAGTAATTGATTACACAAGTACTGTAGTAAATAATCTTAAAATTCATTGAAGAATTTTTGATCAGCATTTTTCAGAACAATATTTAGTAAATACTCAAAACAATCATGAAAATATTTTTATTGTGATGAATAGTAAGAAAAAGCTTTGAAAACATATAATTCAATGTTTGAGTAAATGAAAATGAAACAAGTATAGCATGAGTAGTGGGTTTTTGGCTTGGGGCCTACGATGTTTGAAGTCCTGTCGCAAGTAGCTTACAAACACCACGTCCTCTGTTGTGACATCACATTATGCCTGACCAAACTTACGATCTTGGTAGATCGTTAATTTGCAATTTGCTGTATGTTTCTGGTTTATGTTAAGCTGACGATTTTACGATTGAAAGTTCACAAATCTACTGCAAATCTTGGTGTTTGTTACTATTCCCAACATACATACATAATCATGGTATATTAAACAATCCAAGATTAAGTTACATATGAATAAAGATATAAAATTATGCGTATTACATTCTTTCGTCCTAGACTCGATAGTTTTTTTGCAATGTCGACAAGATATACTGGCACTTGACGTACTACTGCAGAAGTGCATAAAACTTGGCACTGAAAAATCGGGGTGTTAAATTTATAGTAAATTCATCACATTGCTGTTCTACATTGATGAAATGATGATGATTGAACATTCAACTTCTAGTGCTAATTTTAAGATGGTTTTTAATTAATTAATATATTTAATTCTTCAAAAAAATATTGTTGAAAATATTATAAATAATAATTGAATTTTATTTTGTATTGATGATGTCTATTAATGTCATGTTGCATAAATAATTTATTACTGTAAACAAACTTTTCATTATAAACTAGATAGGTACAAAAATCTTGGCAAATTACTTGACAAGAAGTTTAATATAATGTCCAACAATCATTATTACCATCTTAATCATGTTTTACATGTTTATTCATTGGAAATGTCTTTTCTTTAAAACTTATTTTATGATAAATTTGTTTGGTTTCTATTTTTTGTTTCAAATATTCTTGTTGGTAAGTATATATGATTTAACTAGGATTATTATAAAGAATAATTTATAAATAGACATTTAGCAGTTTTCGATTGAATTTGACATTTTTTAGATAACCTTGTGTTTTTGAATAATCAATAAAGTATCAAGTTGAGCACGATAAGTGACAGTTTGTTCATTCAAATCACAATCCCATCATGTCGTACATCAAGTGGAGGCAATATGCAACTGCATTCCACACATTTTAAACTTCATTTATATTACATATTAAATTACAATTACTTCTAAGTAGTACACAATCGCAGTTTATTTTTTATCAATGAATAAAAGATAACAATGACCATTATTAGTTTGATTAAGAATATATATTTATGAAGTTATCTTCTAATTCCACTCGTGTTTAGTATTTTAATGGAAAATGTTATCTACATCTTGGACTGTTTAATAATTAAAAATACAATTAATTAGACATATTTGATAGATATAATTAATACTTACACCAGAAGGTGGGAGCACATGAGAAACCATTTTGAAGTTCCGTTCAACAACCGAATAACTCATAAAAATTTTTGACTCACTTCAATTACATATCCTTAAATGTTATTAATTCTTTCACAGTGACTTTACAATACTAATAAACATTTATTTCACTCAGGTTCTTATTTCGCAACTAACTTGTTTCACCATTTTTATTGCACTTGAATTTTTTAATTTTGTCGTAAGAAGTAAAAATATACTTTTAATCACACAATCAATGTAACTATACTTTTTTTTTTCAATCAAATAAAGCAATATTTGAATTTCTTTAATGCAACTTTTCTGCAACAACAATACTTTAATAGTAAATTATTATTATCATTTTACTCTCAATGACTTTACATTTTTATAACAGTCTGAAGGTCATGAACTTGGCAGAAAACTCCCGCAATATGACCTTTGGATCTGAGTATGATTGAAAAATAATTATTTATAAATAATAATAAATTCATTTCATTGTCCCACTGCCATTATCATGGAATTCCCTCTCAGAAGTAAAGTTATCTCAACCAAATGCAATATAAATCTGCAACAAAAATTTTTATTAAATTTTAATGTATTAATGTCAACATGAAACTTTGATTTTATTTACAAAAATAAATTTAAGTATATCCTACTGGAGGTAGTGGAGTAAAAAATGGTATAAAAGTGCAGTTTAATGGATTTTAAACAGCCGTGATACATGACTCCCTCCTCCGAAAGGGAGAAAAAAAAAAGATGAGTGTTATCTCTATAAAAGTAAGAAGAATGAGAAGCGCCAGGCTGATGACAAGTTAGCGACAGCTGAACACTTTTAGTTTGCAGGAACGTTTAGCGCCTACTTGTACCTACTTTATGCTGACTACTCGACGGCTTATTTACATCATCTTTAGTCAGTATGCATATAGACTCCTATCATTTTTTCCATCGTTTATTGGTTACTCCAAAATAAGCAAGGACTTCAAAATAAGCGACTCGTGTAAAGAAGAACCGTAAAAAATTCAGAATATAAGAGCTTGAGTAATGAATGATTTTATTAATTTAATTAAAATATAATTATTTGGATAATTTATAGTTCTAATGGTAACAAAATTTACAGAAGAGAATGCTAAGATTAGAATTAGATGTATGCTCATATCATAGACCAATTTGAAATCAAAGAGAAGAAAAACGAATGATGTAGTAAAGTTATCGGTCACCGTCGGACTTAAAGAGATTAAATCCAAACAGTAATTTGGATTACTCTGTTGAAGAAACAGCCGTCAAGACTAAAAGATTCTCAACATCTGAAGACTACTAGACTTCTAAATTGGCGCAATTAAATTTTCTTACAATGTTGTAAGATAAAATAGATGATGGATTTGACAAATTCGAAAATCATTTTAAATATTTTATAATATTTACACAATCATCTGATGATGATAAAATAATCGTTATTTTATGAATAATTATTGGATTAATGGATTAGATTCCAATTCTAAACGATGGTATAAAAAATGGTATAATTTTAGTCATTTAAATAATTGTGATATTTTTTCAAAAATAATGATAAAGAGATAAGAATGTTGATGTTTATTTAATTATAATTTGTACGTTATCACTTATTAACATAATGAAAACTTAAACAAATACATAGTTTATATGTAATTAAGCTTTGTTGATTGCAAATCATATTAATTATTGATGATAAACATCAAAGTTTGTAAACTTTCTGTAACTGATCATAATTCGGTCTAATACTACATGTCAACCAATTAATTATCCTTCGATCATTAACCCTTTATTGCATTTAAAGCTTGACCAACTTTGATTGTATTACCTTCTTTTCATCTTCTAATCAACTTTATTTAAAACAAAAATTTAAATTCACCACAGCAATCATCAAACTAGAAGAAAATTAAATTAAAATTAATAAATTACCTTCCAGAAATTCTTGAATTATCCAGTAATTATTTTCAAAGGATCTTCACTAATAGATTCACATATAATTATTAAATTTGATTGTTTAAAATGTGTTGATGTCACTTGAATTCTTTCAATTAATAATTATGAACACTTCACCACTTGAATCATTTATCAAAGGATACTTTTAAAGAAGTTTAATCAATTACAGGTGTCAAGCATTAATGATGATATTAATAGTATGATGGTGATAAAATCATGCCTCGAATCATCTATTTAATACAACGGCACTCTGACAACCAGCAACTAACGTAACTGAATCGAGAATGAGGCAGAATTAACAGCGTTGGTGTTACGATGAAAGCTGGGAGGACACGAAACAAAGTGGAGGCGGAGCTTTCGGTTACGCTCGAAGCAATCACAAGCTGCCCTATACGTATTCCTGTCATGATAAAAAATAAAAAAAGATAAGTAAAAAAATCGTATTTCCAGATATAGTTAATAATTAATGTATTTATATACATACATATATGTACTCGTGCTCCAAAAAATATTCTAAAGCTTTTGCATCCAAAAATGTGACAGCAAGTTCAGTTAATGAGTTAATAATTAATGGTAAATACAGTTAATTGAAAGAAGTATTTTTTGGAGCACACTGTAAAGATGATTATTAAATAAAAAGTATGATTATGTAAATAAAATGAATTACCTTTAGAGAATTTTCAATCATATCAGTTCCTATTTTAGTGAAAATGATTCATGACATGAATCAAGTTCTATTTGATTGTGAAATGATTAAAAAAAAACAAGCCCAAGTGCAGTAAGGCGGAATATGATGTAATTTGCGACATCAGCAAAACTACATTATTATAATCAGATTAATAAGTCATATTACACTTTACCATGACCTCAATTTAAAGGAGTGAACCAAATTCGATAATAAACTTTGTTATTAAATTTTCTGTTAAATTTCTCAATTATGTACTTTCTTGTAATGCGGTGTGAGCAACCTAATTATGATTACATTACCAATTATTAGGGTATCAAGTGATGAATTTGCAAAAAATATTTTTCGTTGACATCATTCATTGAAAAATCAGCACAAAACTTAATCTGGATAATTAAATTATCATTAGCTAATCATTAATTAAATTTTATATGAAAATATTCTATCATCATTGGCAATCAATTTTTTATGCTTCAAATTTTATTGCATTAATACAATTGATAATTTAATAATGACTTAATTATCATCAGTAGTCCATAAAAATTATCCAGCTTATTTAAATAAATGAATTGATGATAAACATTTTACTTCATTTATAAAAGCTTGAATCTAATTTTTTATAGAAAAAAAAAAAAGTATATTCATACAATAATAAAAAGAAAATAGGGAAAATGTGAGAGAGTCTGTTTGAACGAAAGGTAGGCGGTGGAGTAGTAAATCGCGGTCGCCATGGCTGGGCGTTGTCTGGTGATAATCTGCAGCATTTGATTGGTAGATATATCGCGTGTTGGGAACTGGTACGTGAACATTACACCAACCCATTGAAGGTTTCTCAACCTGGTACAATAATCCTTGCAATATTGACAAAGAAAATCGTAATATGCCAATGATGAAAGTATATCAATCAATTCTTTTTAAAATAATCCAATAAAAATTTCTTTCAAAATTTTCCATATGTGTTTTAAATTTGAAGATTCACAGTACAAATATTCCACCTGATACAGAAAATAATTTAGTTTGTTAACAAGCATTTTAAGCAATTGAAATTTCAAATACTCATTTCATCCTTAATGAGTATAAAACTGATAAAGGATATAAATAAAAATTATACATACATATCTTCAATCAAGTTATTGATAAAGAATATGACGAGGTACCAAATGACTCAGAGAAACAAATGAAACGTTTTTTTTACCTCTACACACTCCAAGAGACGTACAATTATATGAGTTTCATATTTCTTATACGCAATTCCATCGTCATTAGTCTGATGAATCGATCTACTATACTTAGGCGCTAAGTGACACCCTTCATTCGTATATTAAAACAATAATAATCATATTTAATCAGTAGACTCTACGTTATATTTAATAAACAACTACGATTAACTCATGGACTTCAAAAGAATCCGAACGATTCGTTAATCAACATATGATAAATCTTAATAATATATCAATAAAAGAAATTGCATGTAATGATTTTACGTTCTCAATAGGCAGCTCTAGCGTGGGAATATGATCAATAGATACCTGTAAAATAAAAAATAATTTAATAACAATAATTTTGGAATTTTAATAAATGAAAAATAATTGTGAATTTACCTCAAAGTTATACCTCAAGAATAAAAGCATAAAAATGTCTTCAAGTCTTGAAATTCTCTTAAATCATCAATTTTTTTTTTAAATTAATAACAGAATTAAATATTCTGTATAATTTGTATAAATGTTTTTATAATTTACCTTATAACAAACACTTTTCATAAGTAACGAAAATGAAATAAAAGTATTTTATCTAATTATTATTATAAGTTTTAAATATATTCATATTTAATTTAATTATTTTAACACCTTATTAGCTACATAGCATAAAAAATTGATTGAAAGTATTTTTCTTCTTTATTTGACAATCTTTTTGAAGTAAAATATAAAGAAAATATTGGAAAGCTAAAGATTATCTTAGTATAAAGTTATAAAAAAATTTTTAAAGCAATTTTTTTCATGAATTGCCTAACGAATAAAATAAAATAAAATCCATCGTTTCCGATACGGAAGTTTACATGCTAAACCGGAAAGTTTATCGAAAACTCATACGCACATGACACTTAAACGTATTCATCGGTTTAGCCGTATATTTTTCAACAATCAAGAAGTCTGAGCGAGCGAATTGTTGATCGAATGTGGGTAGTTATGAATGGTTATGTTACTAACATAACGGTCTATTGTTATTCCAGCACAATGGTAATGTTTTCCTAAACGATGGTTCGATTGTTCAATTGTTTATACTATTATTGTTGATTCGATGCTTATATATAATCCATATATCTACAGTTACCTTCAATAATTAATTTATTAGAACATTAAATGCTTGAAGGTGATTAAACTCACTAATTTTACAAACTTTTATATCAGTCGAAATACTTTCATCAATTTTTTATGCTTTATGAATTTGAACAATTAAAAAGGATTTGTGTTTAATTAAAATTAAAAACTTCCAGTAGTAAACAAATTTTTAAGCAAATAATTCTTAAAGAATATGCTTTTTAACAAACCAAAAATTGCTTTTTATGCTTTCATTTCTTTGTTATTTATATCAATAATAACAGAAAATATTCTCTTCATATTTCAACGAATAAAGAAAGTATTCTGGCGCCTCTGAATCAGATTCCCTTGAATTTTTAGACCATTTAAACCAGACGATGTGGTAGTTAAAATTGAAAACTCAATGTGAGCTGACCGTCATAAAGAACCATAAATTACACAACACATGTCAGAGTATTTAAATGGAACTTAACAATCTTTGACCCTTTAGCTTCAACTTTAACAAAATCTTATGCACTCAACAAAAACTCACCAAAAAAAGTCACTTTTAAAATTATTTTTTTAAAAATTCTGGCACATTTAATAATTAAATGTAAAATGGAAGAACACTATTGTCTTTTATTTACCACTAATAATAAAATCACATGGACATTGGAAATTAATGCGTTATATGTAATCCTATACTTGTGAGCTTATTTCTTTGTTTAAGAAAATTAAATTTGGCTTTCAGTGTAAGAAATTCTATTTTCCAACCTCCATTAAATGGCATCACTTTGCTAACGCGCATTGGAATTTTCAACTTGTTTTCAATTAATTTCATTAATTCAGAAAAATGTCTGATAGTAGTTTTGATTTTTACACAAAATCGGTTATTGAAGTTTGGAGGAAACCTTCTACAGGGAGGTTGAGGCGCAAATGAAGAAAAATATCTCATAGGGGGTGGAACTGAGTTTATGTGATGTTCTCTCGTTCCTAAGTTTTCTCTGTGATTCAGAACATCTCTTAAATCTATTCTGTTCTTCATGTCACCCTTTATTTTTAATACCTGTGTATTATTATTATTATTATCGTTCAACGATATTTTTGATTTAGATGTTGATGGTTTTTGTTTTGAAACAATCTCTGTAGTTGTTTGACTTTGTTGCTTATCTTCAGATTGATCATTTGATACCTCTACTTTATTTGATTCTTCAACTTTATTTGATGTTTCAACCTTATTTGATTCTTCAACTTTATTTAGTACGTTTTCGTTCGATTTTTTAATTTTATTAGCCAAAATTTCTTCCAATTGAATTCGGCATTTTCTCTCTTCTATTACCATCTTTTCAAGTTTATTCCTTTCTTGTATTAATTTTTCTTTTTCTGCTCTATTCTTTTCTTGTTCCTCCTGTAGAGTTTTTATCACCAATTTCATTTCATCAACCACTTTTTTATCAACATATTTATTCTTTAAAAATTTCTCTTTCCAGTTTTTCTTCATTTTATTTATGCCTACAAGTAATTTTAGTGCTATTAACTTCTCTGATTCTTCTAAATGATGAAGCAGATAATACCATACTTCCAATTCAATTTTTTTATCTTCATCTTCTTCCTGATCTATATAGTTTTGACGTTCTTTTTTAATTTTTTTAAACGATTTGTTATTTAATTGTTTTTTATTTTCTTCCGATGTTTTAATTTTTTTAGTTTCAGTACATTCTTTGTGACATGTTTTCTTAGATTGGTTTGCTGCAAGAATAAAAATATTTAATCAAAAATTATATACAAATAGGAAACAAAACAATAATTAATAATAGTAACGTAAATTCTACAAACTAATTTTAATATTTTTATTCTAGATACACAATGATATCATGTTGATTATTGACAACAAAAAACTTGGTAATTGTACCTTTATATTTATTACGTTTTTCTTTATAGCACACAATATCCTCATCTGAACTGGAAGAGCTACTACTTTCATAGTGCGAAATAATTTTCCTTTTCTTAGACATTGTTTCTGAACTTACTGGAATTGAACGTAAACCAAATTAATAAGCACATACATAAAGTCAGTGGAAAATAAATTGGCAGGATAAAACAAATATCAATGCCGCTATCACAAATGATATAAACAATTATTCAAATAATCATAAATATTCTCCTAAATTTCTATACCTACCATCCTCCATTGCTAGCATAATCTTAAACAGATACAATCGTAAACACTTTACGAAAACAAGTAAGCAAAATATATCAACAGTGCAGATAATATAAAGTCGTCACAAAAAATCTAAACTGTAACAAATTCTAATCAAGTGATTGCTTTGTCTTTGTCGCAGCTCTTGTTTGTATACAATTTTTCGAATGAGCGGGATAGAACACGTTAAAGATTGTCCATGCGAGTACAAAAATAATTCTGCAGATGGCAGATGATGTCTATCTCTACATCAAAAATGTGATATCATATGATGATAACCACAATTACAATGTATTTACTGTTGGTAAAACAGTTCACTATAGACTGAGATAATAAAGTAAACAAAGGAAACAAAAGAAAGCTATCAATGTTGTTATGAGTTGTAAACGATTAAAAGCAATCTCCAACGTCTAAATACTTTATCATGTAATTGTAGGATTAATTTCCGTGAAAGATATAAAAAAACGTACATCCGAAGATATCGAATTATTTTTAAAAACATTAACAAAGAGCATCAACTTTATTCGAGGTTATAATGATCGATATTAAAAAACTTACAAACTATTTTGGAGTCATTGTCTTCGGAAAAAAGTATAAACTATCACGAATTAGATTTATTTATCATATATTTTTCAATTTTTCAATTATATTCCAGGTTTTTTTTTCGAATGCAGACATAAAATATAGGTTACAGTTGATAACTCTCGATTATCAGTCACATGATATGCAGAAATATATGAACGTGAACGCATGACCATGCGTTGTATTACAAATGTTTAGGGTGGAATAGCACACATGTGACAAGATAAAACTAATATATGGATAAGAATTCGATAACATATAAATACATATAAGTTCAAAGCCAGAATGAGTAAACAGAGCGGTGATTCACATGTCGATAGACTTTCAGGAAGCGACAGTGTACTATAACACACCAACTCTGATAATTACGTCCAATATATTCATTTCATTATAGTTAATTAATCAATTCATAAACTCTTTCAAGCATTAAACATAACAGTAATCATTCAACTTGAGCTTCGTTGAAATTAGTATTGACGAAGTAGTACAAGTAAGAAAGGCAAGCAGGTATAGACAAGTCAGTGGAAAACTCATAAAGAACATTTATTTGTGACTAGCGCTTTTGATCGCAGTGTGTTCACATCCATTGTCAGTTCTACTTCTATCGTCAGTGTGAGTGGTTGGTTAGATCTTGCTTCTTAAACGTATCATTGAGGTATTTAAAATTTTTGTTAATCAAATTGTTTTATCAATTTAATAAATTTAAGCTCAATCATGATTTATAGTTTTCAATATTATTGCTATTATTCTTAGAAAATTTATTCAAGATTTATCAAATGCGCAATAAAATAATTTCATTGATGTTAGAAGATACTTCTCAATAACATAGTGAAACATGACATTTTTCTATTTGTCATGTTTCATTACTAATTAATATTAACTATTGACCTAGATACATATATTATTCATACTTCAAAGATTTAACTAGAGGACAATCTGTTGTTACAATAGTTTTTGATTTGTGATGTTAACCTTTGTTCTCGAAAAAATACGAACGCTTCAAATGCGTCACTGTAACAAAGAAATCCATTTTTACAATAGCTTTTTTGTTAGAGAATATGGATGATTAGAAAGATGATAGCTTGTTGCATCATTCTAAACTTATTTATGTTGAGATTAGATATTTTATTTTTGCATAATAAGATAAACAATATTTACATTTAAATAATTTAAATATTTTGTATTTTTTAGATTATCTACGATCGAAGAGCAATCATGAAGATTTTACTACTTTTCTCTGTGGCATTGTTTGCCGTTATTGAAGCTGTTTCATTTTCTGATGTTGTTATAGAAGAGTGGAATGCATTTAAGGTATGAACGAAATAATTAACCAATTTTTTTTATTCGGATTTTTTATTAATAATAAAATATTTATGAATATTAACATTTTATTTATAAATATTTATTTATTTATCCATATTGACATTATTTTCCTGTTGTTTTCCTGTCTATCATACATACATGCATAGAAAAATGACGTAAAAAATTTGTATTGTTAATGTTTGATCAAAGTAAAAATAAATTAATTGAATATTTATTGCAGCTCCAACATAAAAAACAGTATGAAACTCCGACAGAAGAGAGTATGAGAATGAAAATTTTCTCTAACAACAAGTATCATATTGCTAAACATAATTCTAAATATGAAATGGGTTTGGTACCTTTTAAACTAGCTATCAACAAATACAGTGATATGGTAACAATTTTTTTGTTTTATGACAAATATATTAATATCAGCAAAAATAAAGAATTATTTTATAATTATTATTACAATTTTAGCTCCATCATGAATTTATCCATACTTTGAACGGATTTAATAGAACAGCATCAAATAAAAAAAATTTGAAAGGAACGAAAAAACTTCGTGGAGCAACATTTGTTTCTCCTGCTCACGTAGAATTTCCCAAACATGTTGATTGGAGAAAATTGGGAGCAGTCACTCCAGTGAAAGATCAAGGACACTGTGGATCATGCTGGTCATTTTCTGCTGTAATTATTTTTTTTTTCTTGTACCAAAATTGCAACAATATCTGATTCATAATTAATATTAACAATAGATAATAAAATAACAAATTAAATAATAGAATAATAGAAAGAAGCGAAACACAAAAAAAATACTCAATTAGTTTCAAATGTTCTATTTTAGACTGGAGCATTAGAAGGTCAGCACTTCCGTACAAAAGGCTTCCTTGTGTCTTTGAGTGAACAAAACTTGATCGACTGTTCCGGCAAATATGGAAATAATGGTTGTAATGGAGGCTTAATGGATCAGGCATTCCAATACATTCGAGATAACAGAGGAATTGACACTGAAGTATCGTACCCGTATGAAGGACAAAATGATACATGTCGATACAACCCACGAACTGCTGGCGCTGAAGATGTTGGATTTGTTGACATTCCTGAGGGTGATGAAGAAAAATTGATGCAAGCTGTTGCTACAGTCGGTCCCGTTTCTGTTGCCATTGATGCATCCCATGAATCATTCCAGTTTTATTCAGAAGGTAAATATGAGAAACTTGAAAAATATGTAATGATGTTTTTATGATTATTCTGTTGAGTCATCTCTATTAATTATAGACATGATTTTTTAACTCAAACAATTTTTTCAATTTATTATTATTGTATTTGTTTAGGTGTTTATGATGAGCCTGAATGCTCAAGTACTGAACTAGACCATGGAGTTTTAGTTGTAGGATATGGAACAGATGAAAATGGCAAAGATTATTGGCTTGTAAAGAATAGTTGGGGAGAAAGCTGGGGGCAAAATGGGTATATTAAAATGGCACGTAATCAGAAAAACCAATGTGGTATTGCCTCTAGTGCTAGTTACCCTCTTGTTTAATTCTCATTTTTTTGTTTTCATTTATAATTATTCTAAAATTGAATGTAATCTGAAATATTATTAATTTTCTTCGTAAGTATGTTAAGAAATTAATTACAAAATTCATCATTGATATTTTATCGATTGTATTTGTTTTTTCAATAAATCATAGTATAATGTTTTTATGATTTTGTATGATGTAAAAATTACAAATATATTTGTTATATTACGTAAATATAATAAATTGTATGCCAATATTTTTATAACTAAGTGATAAAATAATTATAAAATCAGAAGCATAACATTTCTCATAACAATTATCGAAGTTGTACAAACGTGATGATAAAAATAAATTTTCTAATAAATGTCACTCATGTTTGAAATTAGGCGTAATTTTTGATAATATGATTTTATCTTAGAATGTGTGATATAACTCGGTTTTTAAAAATAACTAGTGAGAACAATAGTAGTTTTGTAAAAACATACGAAAAAATGTATTTTTTTTAAAATCGTAATACATAACTTGTAAAAACAAAATTACTTGTTTTACAAGTAACATTTAATCAAATACAGTTCATAATTAAATTTAATCTATCATTTTAAAATTAAATTAAGAAATACTTGATTTAAATTTATTGTGAAATTTATATGAAATTTTATTGGTAAAAATGGGCTCGGCAAGATGCCATTCTGCCCTCTGAACATACATAGTGGAAATACGATGAGAACAAACGGCGCAAGATTTAAACTAGTACAATAGACAGAAAGAAAGTTAGGATATACAACATACTACTAAACGAATACAAAAGTTAAACTTAAAATTAAAGAATACAAAAGTTAAAGTTCAAATTATTAAGATTATTACAATAAAGAATATGAGTAATTGACAATAAGAATAACAAACATTAAATAATTCTTTTTCGGATTAATTCGCATATAAAAAATATATTCATATATATATATATATATATTTATATAAAGATAACTTATTTATATATATAAGGGGGAAATCTTTCCAGAAACCTCAAGGATCTGAGCAAACTCTCCCTTTCCTCATTATAAAGAGAACATTCCCAGAAAACATGTTCATCCGTTTCTTCAGCAGCACCACAATCACACTGTGGCGAACTGACAATATTTAAATAAAAAAGACTAGCTTTGAGAGAGGTGTGCCCAGATCTCAGTCGGTTAATGGTTACAATAGTTCTCCTATTAATATTTAGTTTATGAAACCAGCAACGAGGGGAACCCTGAGAATAATATTTAAAAAAAGATTTGCCTTTATTTTCATTAATAAATCTTTGGGCACCCCAATCAAGGGAATCTTTGAACAAATTAGACCTCCAGGCTGTTTTAAAATCATTTAAAGGCAGAAGAACCTGTGAGTCTCTACCAGAACTTATTGATTGTTTAGCCGCAGAATCAACCTCCTCATTGAAATCAAGACCAACATGAGCTGGTACCCACCACAGCTTGACAGACTTCCCTTCTGACTTAAGTTTAAAAATCAAATTTCTAATGAACATGATGAGGTACGAGCTTTTACCAAGTTTTGGCTTGGAAGTGAGTGCTTCCAAAACACTTTTAGAGTTATATGAAAATTTTTTTAAATAATGATCTTGAGACATCTACTGAGTTTTTATCAAAATATTTTTCGTTTCAATTTGAATTGATAACCTCATAAAAGTTTATTTAAAAAAAAATTATTTTACATTGTTAAAAAATTCATTTTCCTGTCAATAATTTAAAAAAATTATTTGAAACTAGTCCATTGTTTGGAATCGAATATTTTTATTTATGAATTTGACAATGTCGGTAATATTTTTCATGTTATCGGCTTTGAGATTGAACATTTGTTCTAGGGACCTGAATATTTTTTTATGTGTTTCATGATTGATTAAATTATCATGTAACTTTTATTTATGTTGAAAATCTTTTATTTTATATAATCAATCTATCAAATAACAAAGTATTCATTCAATTATTGATAAATTGTAAATAAATTATTTCAAAAATTTTTACTGAATTGATGTAATTGTGTACATGTGTAACTATACTTAACCTTTCTTATTTCTGGGAGTGAGTTAGTTTTTACTAATGGTTAAATTTTAATGATAAAATAATATAATGAATAATTAAAATCAACAATGTGTAGTAAATAAAAGTAATTTATTGTTGACAAAATAAGAAACTACAAATAATCATAAATTAACAAGACAAATTACAACAAAAATAATAAAATTGAACACTTGAGTTTAATGTAAAGTAAGAATAACTACATACACAAAGATGGATATATTAAATGCAGTTATTACTTCTAAAATATCAACGGATCAAATTTTTGAATGGTTGACTACAGATAATTTACAAGTAAATATTTCAAACAATTATTTATTACCTGTAATTGATTATATAAGTTTAAATGTAGTGATTTAGGGTTATCTATGATAACATATGTGATAATTAAACTTCATATATTTCAGAGCGCTCCATTTTCGGACATCATCCAAACAGATACAACAAAAGCTGAATTCATTATAAATTTTTTAAATTATGTAAAAAAACAATGTAAAAGGTATGTTTATTAATATTATGATGATATTTATCATTGTTCTTTCTACTTCATTCTAGTTATTATTTTTTAAATCTTTTCTTTACATATTCTTTTTTATTTTTTTTATTTCAGTATTTTAAAAATTGAACCGAATGCTTCTTTCGAAAATAAAGAAAATTCAAAAAAATTCGAAAACAGTTTCAATGTGGCATCGAAATTTCAGAATCATGAAAAAGTAACACCAAAGCATAAAAATAACTCTTTTGAAGAAAATGTGACTGACATAAGCATAAGCAGTCAAAGTATTGGGAATGGGTTAACAAGTACTCCTTTAAAATCCAATGTAACTACCTACATAACTTCACCTGATGTAAAATCACCGCTTCAAACTGCCTATTACCCTCCAGGTACACCTAATGCATTCTTACCGTCACATGTTTTGAATACTCCAAATCAAGCCAATTTTTATTCCTCAAATCAATTAGTCAGCCCGAATGTATCAAATGATAACTATGCAGCATTATTTAGTCAATCACAATCTTCTAATTGTTCAATGCGAAATGTGTCGCTAAATGATTCTCTCATTTCTAATTCATCAATGACACCAAATGTTGCTCTCTATAGCCCAACTTCTCCACTACATGCTGCAAATATGCCACTTATTTCTAATGATAGGACTAACATTTTAACTCCAAAACACAAAAAATCAGCTTCTAAGAATGAAAAAAAACGAAATTCATCGGCACAAGTACAAAATAATAGCCAGAAAAATAAGAGTAGTCAAAATCGGAGTATATGTTTGGGAGATTTTTTAAATGTTGACAAGGCAGGCTCATCAAGTGGTAATGGCAAAAAAACTAGATCTAGGCGTCGAATAAAGCCTACTCCATTAAAAACTTTTGATAATTCAGGTATTTTATTCTTAATCTTAATTATAGTAATAATAAAAATATTAATTTATTATTATAAATGTGATGTATTTTAGAAAATCAACAGCCGCAAGTTTTTGGAGTAGTTAATAGGCCACCCATAGTTAATCCACAATTTACAGAGGCTCAGCCAGAAGAAAATCCCAATAAAAAATCATCATTTGAAGCTGAAAGAGAGCTGTTAAAATTAGAAAGAAAAAAACAACCAAAAATTGATGTCCATGATGAAGAACCAATTTGTCAAAACAAACCAAAATTACATACAATAAACGTTGTACCTAACGTAGAATTAGTGAAAAATGTAGAAGTTTTAAATATTCTAGTAAATCTCTACGGTGGTTTGTTAAAGAAAAATTTGATTCCAAATCTCATGACAGAATTATATTTTATAATTTCGTTAATCACATCTCAGTACAAATCTCAAGCTAAAGAAGAACTAAAGAAAAATGTAACAGATTTTAAAAGCGATGACTTAATACTTCAAGATTCGTTTGAAGCATTAAAGATAAATTTAGGATGTAAAGATATTAATGAAGATAATGATAGTCCAAAGTCAACTCAAGAAATATCAAATTCATTATTAAATAATTCAAATGATGAAAAAAAGGAAGAAAACCAAACGAAAAAATTAAAAACAGTTACTGGTACAACATCATTTCTTAACACCGCTCATAACTGTGTTTATTTTGCTACAGCAATATTGGCTCAAGAAAAAAATCTTCTAGAAATTTTAGATAGAACTACATTGAAATTACTTTCTGATAATCTTCATGTGATATCATTTCAACCAGAATTACAAAGCTACTTAAATGAGTTGTACAAAAAGAAATATTTGCAATCAAAGCAAATTGAATCTACTGACAAATCAACGTAAGTTAAAAGTTTTGGAAAAACATTATTTCTTTGAGTACACCATCTCTAATTCATATTTAAAAATTGATTTTAGTGTGTCACAATCAAATGTTTGTTTTGAGGTTGAAACGGATAATCGAGAGAATTTTCTTTCTCATAATTCATTCAGTGTGTTTCGACAGCAACGAGATTTATTTTATGAAATTTTAAAAACTTGGGAAGACCGTCATTTAAATCCAAAATGGTCTTTTAGTTTGTTAGAAAAGAAAATTGCTACAATGCTAAGCTTACACGACGATAGCGTTAATTATTATCATCTTGCTCGATTGTTTAAGCTTCAATTATTAATGTCTTCAGTAGAAGATAAACAACTGGTAATGATTAATGCTTAAATCATTATAACTAACATATTCAAAATTTTTGAAACTGATAAATGAACTTAATGTTTATAGGAACAACCAATAAATGATGAGTACTCAAGTATTTTAGAAAGTATGCAACACTTGGATCCAAACAAACTGAATCAATTAAAGAAACGATTGGTTACTCCAGTCACTAGTACATCAATTGATCCAGTACCTTCTCCGTCATTTCCAGGTGTACAAGAATTTTATCGAAACTTTATTGCAGTTGTTTCAAATCCAAATTTTCTTACCATTTTGGAGCATTGTTTTATTCAAGAAATTATGGAATTAAATGAAACTCAGTTTATATGCAGTGATATTGAATATAAAGGTATGAAATTTGATCGTGAATTAATTTACAATATTATTATTCTTATAGCAATCATCAAATAAAGACTAAATAAAATTTTATAGAAGCGGCTGTAGAGGAAAGTACCAAGCAAAACTATCTTCTTTCTGTATCAAATCTTCGATTAATGGCAAAGTTTTTAGGATTAGTCATATCAATGCCGTATCGATCAGAAATCAATTCCGTTGGTATAATAACCACCCAAATAACTATACGAAGTCGAGTAAGTTAATATTTCATTGATAATTACAGTATATTATTGCCAATTTTGAATTTGTCTATTGAAATTTGTTCAATTTTAGATACTTCCACCGTTGGATTTACAACAATGTCTTAGTGATGCCTTAAAACATGGTAAATTGACTTTGGTCGTTCCTTGGATTGTTCAATATCTAGCAATGTTAGATTCAATAGCGTTTCGACTTCCTTATTATTTACAACTCTGTGAAGTCCTTTATTATATTTATCGAACTGCGCCCACTTCATTGAATCATAAAGCTGCATTGTTGATAACTTTTGCTATTGGATGGCTTTTCGAGCTTCCAAATTTTCCAAAGGATCTTTTTTACGATTGGTACACGAACTACGATATCAAAAAAATTCCAATTTTTCCAGAAACAATGATTGAAGTTAAAAAAAATCAATCTATAGTGAATAGTTCGTTTAAAGAACAAAATTTAATTCTAGATAAAATGGAAATCATTGATGACAGAGTGTTGCACGCTTGTTGCCCATTTTTGGAGGCCTTTAAAGCTTTATTAACATCTGGAAACTCAAGTTTTAAAAACAGTAATATTAATCGTCACATCACTCCTGTTTCAAGTCAACTTTCTCAGCCTTCATCTGCAACAAAAGCAAAAATGCTACAGATGCAATTACAAGATGCATTTTTTCATGGGCAACCAAAATCTGTAAAGAAAACCGTCGATTTTGTATCAGAAAGAGTAGCTTCAAGTTGTGTTAAATATATTTGCCAGTCTATGATAGTTAAAAATGAAGAAAAGTGTTTTGAAATATGGAGGGATAAGAATTCGTTAGAAGAAAAGAAAGATCAAATTATTGCGATAACGAAGAATATAAAAGAGCAATGTCAAGAAGAAATAACACAAATGGCTCAAACAAAAATTAAAAATGCAATGGAATCTCTTCTGGCTGATGATCTTTTGCCTGTAGTTAAAAATATGTGTATTAAAATAGCTCAAAGGATGACTATGGAACGAATTAATCAATGGTTAGATTTTTACATTAATAACACGACAACTTTTGAAAGTATACGTGAGAAATATTCGAAAAATAATCCTTATAAAAACTCTGAAGAAGAAGCTGATGATCCAGCTTGGAAAATAAATGGTGAAAATTATGATCCACAAGCTCCTTCTGCAACTTCTATGATAGAAAAATTAAGAAATGCACTCTGGGAAGTCATAGAACAGCGCGGAAGGTGGTTTGTATTATCAGAAGATCAAAACCTGAATTTGATTCAAAACTTGCGAGCAACGTTATATAATAGAAAAGATGCTTTACCGTCTGTTAAAGTGGTTTTATATAAGATGAGTATTGATTATGCTTTACATATAATTGTTTTTAAAAAAGACTTGATGACTCCAAAAGTGGAGGATAAGTTTATTGAAGTATGGAAATTGTGTCCAAATGCTAGTGATCTCTTTCACAATCCTTTGTGTACACGAAATATTACACTTCTTATGCAAACATATGACAAAACAGTATGGTCAAAATATGGGAATTTTATTGGACGATTATTAACAGAGGATATTTTAAGTTGGAACCTGTTTTGTGAGCAATGTGTTGCAATTTTGAGACAGGAATGGTCTGCAGAAGTATTGAAATTAATTCCAGTTTGTTTAATGGAAACACTTGGTTGTTTTAAAAATACAAATATATCTGCAGGAAAAATCACAAATACGACAAAATATGAAAAAATTAAAAATATGATTGAATGGATTGCTGAAACCTGTTCAGGTCTCAACAGTAATTCATTTTAAAAAAATTGCATGTGTTTTTAATATTTTGACCAATTGATACTAAAGATGGAATTTTATTAAATATGATGACGATTATAAATTGATTGAATTGTGTAAATTTTAAAAATTGTACAGTTTTTCTTAACAGTATATAGAGGTCGTTTACCTCAATTTTTGAAGTCATATCTTTCCATGTCATCGTAAACGATTCATCAAGAATCATTAACTTATTTTTTATTGATCAATTAATAAATTTACTTTCTTTTCTGTCATTATAAGTGAATTGTAAATTTAAATCAATAAATATATATGCTCCATTCATAAAAAACGAAGGTTATTATTTATTTTGGAATTTATAACCTATAAATACTTTTGTTAAGTGATTTTCATATTTAAGTAAGTATTATTAAATATTATCAAGTGAAATTTAGAATATTCTTAATAAGTTTATAAATTCAAGGTACAAAATGATGAATTCATCAGATCCACGTCGCCCTGAGAAAGAAATTAGATACAAACCTGCAAATAGTCAAGCCCAGACTGCTGATGACTTACCTCCAGACTACATGAACATTTTAGGAATGATTTTTAGTATGTGTGGGCTAATGATGAGATTAAAATGGTGTGCATGGGTTGCTTTATATTGTTCGTGTATTAGTTTTGCTAATTCTAGAGTCAGTGATGATACTAAACAAATTTTAAGCAGTTTTATGTTATCTATATCAGCATTAGTAATGTCTTATCTGCAAAATCCACAACCGATGACACCTCCATGGGCTTCGGCAATGCAGTAATTTTAATTGTGTTCATTATCTCTAATTTTGTAATTCGTTGATCAAGTAAAATTGAGAATGATTGAAAAGCAATAATTTTAAACATTGAATAGAGGCAGAATAAATTATTTTAACGCTAACGAGTATGAAACATTTTTTAATTCAATTATTTGCTTTATTGATAATTGGAATAAAATTTTTGTAAATAATTTTTAATATATATAAAAAAGAAGTGTTCCTTTTAGTACTAAATAAAAAGAATGTTGGGAAATAAAATAAATTAAACATCCAATTTTATAAACCGATTTGTTCTTTAATTGATTTAAATTTTAAATACAATTTTTCAATTTCTTCACATTATATCTACTGATATCTTGGGAATATCATGTACAACAAGATTATAATATATATTTTCTAATTTTCTCTGTATTTCTAAAGCCTATACTAAGTTAATAAATTCAGAATATAATTTTCTTATCTATATGCAACAATTTTGCATCTATTTTCTATTTACAATGCATTTTCTTTAGTTCATTGGCAGGAAATTGATAGAAAATGTAAAAACTATTAGATTAAAAAGTAATTAACTTTATATCATTATTGTATTTTATTTTTAGTAAAACCCTCTTTTTATGTATTTATGAAATTTCGATACGATAAGAAAAATGTGAAAAATCTTTGTGTGATTTGATCAAAGGCATTTATTGAATATTTATATTTTAATTACTTAGAATGAATGATATAATCAAATACCTTTAATAAATTAAAAAATCTTTAGAACACACAAAGAATTCCAACTATTTATAATTTAATACATAGGCCTAAGTTCATAATAAATTAAATAATATTTGAATACTTAACAACTAATGACTAGTTATTAAAGTTAATATTGGCACAATGTAAAAAAGTACATATGAACAGATAAAAAATTTTTCACCGCATAGATAAGTTAATTTTACATAATTATACATATAAAAAAATTATTCTTCATAGAGAAAATTATTCAATTTCAGAAAATTTTTTTATTTACATAAAAAATTGTTTTTCTATAGATAATGGATAATTTTCAACCATAAATTAATGAATAACAACAAAGAATAATTGTAAAAAATATATTATTTATTTTAAAACTTTTCTATTCTGTAAGAATTAGTTTTTTTATCTATCATTAAAACGATAAAAAATTAATTAAATTTTTTTATTACAATAAGCATTTTAAAGCTAAATTAATAAAGAAGAAATGAAGCCACGGGTATAGGCATAAGCTGCAAGCTAAGGCCTCTTTTGTCCATCGGAAAAATTTCCATTTCAATTATAATGTGGTCCCATGGCAATTATTTTAATTAATCCCTTTACCTTATCAATTTTTTTTAGAGCACAGCTCAAACACTACTTTCACCTCGACCAACTAATGTTATTGGATACACATATTTCTTTCTTTTTGCGTTGAAAAATGGCGATGTGTGTTGAATATGACTAGGAGTTGGTGAAAGGCCGCGAAGAAGCGGTAAAGATGTATCTACTGATGTTCCTCCAATGCCGGGTTCAAAGGGTTTTTTCCATTCACTTCCTAGATTACATGCTGGTGCCATGAGCCCTTTATACTCGGGAGAACTTCTTACACTCAAGAACACATCATTGCTATCTCGTTGACTCAGTGAACCCTTGAAAAAATTATAGATAAGTTTAGTATGTTTTTTTTTAAACTTACCTTGAAACATCGGCAATAAAAAAAAAATTTTACTTCCATAAGGAATTCAAAGATAAAACAAAGTCTCTATGATTATCATAACAGAGCATACATTAAGATGAAAGGCATTTTTATTATAAATTTCACGAGCAAAATTCTTTACCGTGTATAAATTAAAAATTCTTTTTTATTTTAGCTTGTCATAAAAACCACCACCAACTGTAATGCAGGAATACTTTTAATATTGTTGGTAAATTTAATGAAAATAATTCACACTCGAAATTTAACAAAAAGTCATTGCTATCATTTTAATTCTGGAAGTATTAAATGAATGAATTAATGTTACATACTTTGGCTTCGCAGAGATCTATACTGGATCCATTAGTATCATTTTCTTCATTAGGAAAGTCAATTTGTACACGATGACTACTGTGAGTTATTCTAGTAGAATGGACTGAGGATGGGGTAGAGTTTTCGGAAAGGTCATCTCTACAACAAGCAGCAGTACACACGGTATGTTCCCTGGAGTGAAACAGAATAATATTGTTGTAATTTGTAAAAATTAGAAAATATAACTTAATCACGAAGTTTGATTTAATTTTTGATGAGATTTTAAATTAGAAAAAACTTTCCTATGTTTACTCACCTTCTAATAATAACAGAATCTCTACGTCGTGGAACTGGTGGTGGTGGAAGCCCACCTGGTCTTTGACTCCTCGCAGTATCATAGCTAGCTTCACTATTTCCACTGCTGCTATTACTTCCACCGGTAATCTCATCACGTACTCGGTAACTTTTAGCTGCCAGCATTGCAAAGTGAAGATTACTTTTGAGATCATCTGCAGCAGTTGACAGATTTCCTGGAATTTTCGGTGTGCGTCTAATTGGCCTAGTTGGTGGAAGTGGCGATGGTGGATTACTTGCTTCTGACATAGTTTCTGGAGTAGCTAGAGGAGCAATTCGCTGAGTGTACTCCCAGTTGAGTGGATGGTTGAATCTGCAGATAAATGTCAGTCCTGAATCTACTATTTCGGTTCAAAAATAAGATAAGTAAATCCAAAATAATTACAACACATAGAGGATTTTAAAGAAGCCACATAAAGAAAAATAAGAAAAAGCTGATGATAAATTATGATTTTAATTCCAAAAAAGCTTTGATGATTTGATACATGAATGAAATGATGATTAAAATTGATAAGCTAATTAGCAATTGGATAAAAGCAGCAGTAATGAAGAAAATTTGGTTCATTTAAAAGGTTGGACATATATAAAACATTTTGACATTAGAGATAAAGAAGGATTGCAGTTCAGTGTTGCCACGTTGAAATAAATGTTTTTATAAATTGATAAATATTTTTCAAACCTCTATCCCACATTAATCGATTCAAAAAATAGTATAATAAATTTAAATCATAAAATTTAAAGACATTTGAAGAAAAAAAATTGCTAAAACATCAAGAATCGATGATATAGCTCTTTGACAATTTTTCATAAGCCTTAAGAATATTGATAAACACAAAAACCTATTTTAAATAACAATAAAGGGTACAATCACTCATAAATATTGAGTTGAATAAAATTCAATACGTGGCAACATTGTCGCATATATTATTCCTTACAATTTTTGGTCGTCGTGCCTGGGTGTAGTTATCAACTCGCTCGCAAGGCTGACGTACTCCCAAGGCAATCCCCTGGAATCGACGCTCAACTCGCGCCCAGTCTGTGGCAATTCCATTGGACTTTGAAGAGAAGTAAAGCTCGTCTCGAGACACAGTCTGTGTGGCGGAGTGCCAATAGTTAACGAACGTGACTTGCATGGACTGGCTGTAGGCAGGAGAGCCCTCATCTCTTGCTCGATCTCCAACTCCTGGATTTCGGTTGGATCACGAACTTCAGAAGCCTCTGCCGATGACGCATGACCAGACGTCAATCGTTGTGGCTTCGCTGGTCCCAGAGTTGTTACAACCTGATCGTTATGCGCCGTTAAGTTGTTCATATAAATTATTTATAAGAGCAAACATTTTGAGACTGAGACAATGAGAAGTGCGTCGAAATTTCCCATCACTTCGAGCTCTGATTCCTACACCTAGTCACTTGACTATATATAATAATAACAGCTCTCAATACTATTTTTACTTATTAATTTAGATACTTTCATGACTTGCTACTTTATCTCATGCTTTTAATGTACGATGCTATAAAACTAATGAACACGAGCTTTTACCTCATCTAAATTTATATTTTATTTTTCACTTTTTTTAAACATTGTTATTTGTATTTTAAAGACGAGTGGCTTGATGGTAATCGTGCAAATGGAGTGCATGCAAATTCTTTAAAAGAACTTTTAAAAGTGGAAATAGAATGAAAGAAAAAAAAATAAAAAAGGATTCAATGAATCTATTGATTGATTTAGTTGTGATTATGTTCAGTTGAATTATAAAGAGATTTCAAAACTTTGTTTCAATAACTTGAGGACTCATTAAAAAAGATCAATCTTGAAGAAGATAATAACTGATAGTATTGGATTTCAAAACTATTGTTAATTAATTATAAGCTAAAGGATTATTTAAATATTTTAATAAGGATAATTAATTACACAAGAATATCCTTCACAAAGTTTTGAGTCCCAATCGAGAATAAGATAATTTATGTGACATAAAAACAATAAATGATGAATTGAATCATAAATTTTTACATAAGAATCAAGTTTGATTGTGAAATTTGGTGCAAATAATTATAATTTCGTGTCACAGTTAGAGTGTGACAGTGCAAATGAATGATAGAAATATGATAACATTTAATATCAAAGTACTCCATCGAGGTCAGTGAATAAAGATCCTAAGCTTGAAATTTTTCCATTTAATCAAAGAAGTAGTTTCAGAATTAATCATCTAAACCATAACTTTCCAACTGTCATAATTAATTATTTAGATAGACTCTATTATTAAGTACTTTTAAATGAACTTGTTAAAGGACAATTGAGCTTGTACACTACTAGAACCTTATTATCAAGGACCTCGAGTTCGTACAAAAGAGTACCTGGTATCGTGGCAGGAAGAGGGTGTGGTGGCATAGGCGTCAGCGTCAGGTAAAGTTGAACATTGAAGTTGAAGAGTGATGGAACGTTGACTTAGACTTAGACTGTTGGATCTCCTCGGTGACAAGACTTCGACTGCACTCGCTCTTGCTGCCATAATCTCAGCACTATGACCTCTGCACGCAGACACCTAATCCAACCACACACCCTCAGCCACTATTATCAAATTGATCCCTTAAACTACTCCACTTTAATCTATCAAGTTTTTTAATCTCTTCATTTAGTAATTTCCGTTTCAAATATTCATTTTAATATTCAATTTTCGTTTTAATTTCATCAAAACCACTAATTAGATTTTTAGTTATCTCATTTAATCTCTGTATGCTCTTTATTTAATTATTCTCGTGAACATATCATGTCACTAGTTATTTTTACACTCCAGTAATTTTTGGATTTTAATTTAAGTAGGAAAATTAATTCAAAAATTGATTACCAATAAAACTTATTTAAAAAATTACTAATTACTTGGCTTATTTAGAGAAGGGTTATTATAAAATAATTCTACTTGCTACAAACTCTATCGATTTTTAATAATATAATTTAAAAAATAATTAAAAATAAATTTCTAATGGTAACACGTAAAAATAAATAATTAAAAAAAAACAAAAAACAATAGGCAGCGTCTGTTTCTATTTTATTGTTTACGTGCTTTATTGGATGTTCGTGCTATTGAGGACAAAGTGGATTGGGTAATTATTGAAAAAAAATAAAAAAATGTAGGTACAGTTGATTCTAATGAGCTCAAAACTTCTATTCGTTCGTAAAATTTTACAGTTATATAAAATATAAAAGTTTATTTATTTAACAAGAAAATGCAACACAATAATTATTAGTGACTTGACGACTATTTAATAAAATTGCAATCGGCATTAGAATTATTGTCAAAATTACAGTGTAGAAATAAAATTAAAAAATTAAATTATAATAAAAATAAGCTAACGAGTGTTTGGTAAAAATTAACTGGACAAATAAATTCAAATATATTATTAACTTTGATATAATTATTTATATTATCAATTTATTGAATTTTCACCAAACACTTTTATCTTTGGATACAAAACATAAATAAATAATACGCAAATCCAAGTTTCTAAATAATTTATATAAATAGTACAATCTATATAAAATTCATTTCTACATTTTCTCGACATAACTGCGCTCGTCATGCAGTGCTTACAGTGAAAAATACATGCGGTATTACTTATCAATTAATACTCTGATCATTTAACTACTTTATAACTTTAAATTTGTTAACTATCAGTAATATTATCAATAAATTATAAATCAGTCACTGAGAAAATTCTTTATTCATTATATCAATGATCAATAAAGAAAAATTTTTAAATTTTATCAAAAGAGTTTATCAAATAATTTAAAAAAATAATTTTTTATTAATACATTGTTAAACAAATAGAAATATGTTTAATGATAAAAAAATTTCCCAGTATTTTAATTTTTTTTTATAATAATCAGTCATGTATAAAATATTTGTAATTGTCTCTTGCAATGCGACAGAGGCAGCCAGATAAAAAAGCGTAACGTTTGTTTCTTTTTTAACACTAATATTCAATTAAAATCATTTGCATTTTTTCATCACAAAATAACGAAAAAAAAGAGCATTCATTCAAGAGCTAATGTTGTTCATGAATTTCAACAACCACTGACTGAACATTTATATTCGTTTGAGAAGACGTTAATGCATCATTAGAGCAATTGATTGACGGAACATCTCGACTGTTAACTAAGCTTGATTGGATAGATTCAATGTTTTCAGTTGTAATTCCTGGAGCGTCAGTCGTTTCCTCAAGAGGTTCATAAGCACCGCGTTTTATAGAAGATGTGCGACTTATTGGCGATTGCCTACTTTGTACTTCATCTGACTTTTCGATAGGTTGAGAACTTACCTTATTCAGAGCTTTGAGCATGTTATCAGGCATATGATCCTGAATCATCACAGGACTTATGAGAACTTCATCGAAATCCTCAGGACCTGCCCATAATGCTTGATATACTGGTTCTCTTTTTTGGAGTAATTGTCTGAAATATAAATTCAAAATCATTAAAATTTATTTTATTAAATTGATTTATTTGCAAAACTAGCTTAATTAGCCGTGATTATGACTTTTTCATGATGCTCCGAATTTTAATGATCATATCTCATCTAATACGAACATCTGCGAACTAAAGTTGCTAATAAATTCTATTGTCATTCAATATTAATGCTCAATAAATCTTGATTTTATTTTGATGTCCAATTGTTTTATTGTTTTTTTTTATGTTTCAATGGATTATGAAATTCAATTAATTCTGGGTTGAGTACTTTTTAATTGATTTTCACAGTTGGAATAACTCAAATTGCAGTCGTTATAATTTTTCTAGCTAACTATTTAATGGATAATAAATCGATAAAAAAGTTTTGTGTTAAAAATTGCTGATCGAGCTTTGGAATAAAAATAATTAATAATGTCTGATAAATTACTGTAATCTAAATTTTTGACTTTAATATACAATTTGGTAATTTGTTATTTTAGAAGTATATTTATTGTGCATAAAAATTTTTTAATCTCATTGAGATATTTATTATTAAAATAAATCCTAGAGAGATTTCCGAATTTTTTTGCATTTATTTTCCTCTTGGTTGATTTTTTTTAAATAAGATTGTTTTCCTGATACGTCGGAAAAATTATTGTAGATTTATATACATATTGCACTGCAAATTGCAACGTAATTAGAAATATTTTACAGTAAAAGTCTCTCGAGAATTTATAATCCATAGCATAATAATTTTCATTTTTATCATCCCAGCCCTTGTCATGCATATAAGTCCTACAAAATCCCCAGGATATCCATGACATGCGTTTATCATGCGATATCTGAAAGAAATACTGCTGTAAACATACCTCCATCGGGATTCATATTTTTTCCTATAATTGAAAACAATTCAACTTTATTTTTCTCAGTTTATTCGTGCTTTATCTATGTAGAAGAAAAAAGATTTTAAAATAAAAGGAAATCACTACCAAACTTATTATTATTTTAAATGACATTTATCTATAAAATAAATATCTTTTATGACTCAATTACAAATTATATTAGTCACCATTACCTATATTATTTCAATACTTTAATTATAAATTTTTTTATACAAAAATTAGTATCAACAAATAATGTATTTACATTTAATCATTTAATGTTAAAAGATATTTTTGATAAAAATATTTAACAAAAAGATAAAATATTAAATTAATAATACGTACTCTCCCTTATTAGGATGATGTCGAACAACATGAATAATTCTTCCAGGAGGATATAGAGGAGTATGTAGCGTAAGGGCAATACTAGAGTCACTAGGTACAATAGTTTGTGCTCTTGCTTGATCTTTGTCTCTTTGATAATCAGTTATACACCCACCAGCTTCTAAAATGGCAGCAGACGTAGGTATTGAGCTACATCCACAGCACATAATAGAGCACGCGATAGTTTTCCACTAATTTAATAATACAAATAGTTAGACAAGGTATAAGATAGCTGACAATTAATAAATGTAAATAATCTTCTTGTGATACCTTCGGATCCACGCTTCTCTTAATGGCATTTATTAAATCCGCTCGTAAACTTTCCATTTGTCTCAATCCTATCCTTGGTACTACGTCTTTACCAACAACAACTGATGTAATGAATTCCTGTGTATATTGCTGTGCTGGCATGCTGAGGAGACCACCCGGTGGAGCATAAGAAAAACACACAAGATCTGGATACTCCTGCCTCATAAGGATTGCAAGAATTGAAGCTGTGCCAGCACCCAATGAATGCCCTACTAGTGCCAATCCAAAGTGATTTGTACCTCTTTCAGGATTCTGAAATAAACCATTGTTTTATCAATTAATGTAATAAATATTGATTCATTTACACGAGAGGTCTTTCTAATAAACTTGAATGAAACTTGGCTCATCTTTACTCAATACTACGTGAGTCTCATATAAAGAGAGTCATTCAAGTCAATGCATTCTGTTTGATTTTATTTCTCGATCAAGATGAATTTTTCAATACTCTTTGAATGTGCAGATGTGTTATGTAAGTTGGAGTAAAAAGTCATAACAACTTTAGATAGTGAAAATTTCTTAAAATGTCTTGAAGTGTCAGAGAGTAAAGTTCAAGAATAGCAGAAGTATTTGATTTGGTATATAACATTCAGTAGAATTTTAAAAAAATTTTTGATATTGAATTTAAAATCAATATTGATCGAAGGACTTCGAAGTAAATCGAGAAAATTTATAACGCTGTAATCAAATGCATTTCAACATTGATACTTTATCTCATTTGAATATCAGTGTAGCACATTAAATAACACGTGGGTTTACCATACATCTGGATTTAGTTTGGATTGTCAGGATTAAATAACTCTGTCCGGATTCTATGTAAATACTCTTAAGATTAAATGTTTTCAATTAAATCTATTTATAATAAGATTTTGTGGGCGTTAATAATATTTAATTCATGTAAACTTTGACAAGAATATTATATAGAAATTAAAACTCTTTACAACAATAACAACAATGAAGAAAAGTATCTTTTAGTTCTTATAAAGTATCAACAAGTAGTATAATATAACAAAGATGTTGGTTGTACTTAGTTTAAAAATAATAAAAGAATATTTTATGAATTTACTCTTCTAGCAGTAAATTATACCCTTGAGTTATTTTTTTTTGCACAGGAATGAGAAATAACATCTTAATTAAAATACTTGTCTCCATTTCCTACCCATTATATACAACATAGAATTAAATACAGAGTGGTATTTACCTTATTAAACGCTCTAGAGATAATTCCTTCGTCAGATATTTTCTTACGTATATATTCCGCCGCTTGTACCATGCCCTTATGCCCTAGCCAGTCTTCACGTGGTGGTGTCAAAGGTAAAACTTCAGCTTCTGCATTTAAATCTGTCAAAACGTCCTTCATACTTAAAGTCCCACGTATACTGATGACAACCTAAATTGTTAGGATTATAATAAATGAATTCGCAATACAGTTCATTTTAAAAATTAAAAATTACTTAAGACATACCTTTTGTCTAGTATAATCTATCGCTACAAAAAATGGAGTTTCTCCTACATCCACATGGAATGTTGCATAAACCACCTCCACTTCACCTACATCAACCATTCGTTTGAGAGCCGCGTAATTACATTGACAACAATTGTCTTCAACAACTATCACATCTTCATCATTCTTGACACATGGAAAACAGTAGCACCTTAGCCTAGATAATTAACAAGAAAATTATTCGATGAAATATGATAATTGTTTTTGGTCTAATTTAATATCATTAACTTCTAACTAGTTAGTTCCATTTATTAAGATAAATTAACAAGTTAAATTTCAAATCTGCTTTTAACTTCTATAATACACTATTTTACTTTCATTCAAAGTTTAAAAATAAAATAACTGCTGAACGGCTTTAAATTTTCATGATGCAAGAATGGGATAATTATCCTTTTTTAATAACTTTACATACATCAATAATTTTTCCCATGGTTAAAAATAATTATAGACTGTATTATATTTAAAAATGTCTATTTAAAAATCTTTTTAATAAATAATAACTTTTTTATCTTCTTTGTCAAGTTCATCGTTTTTTCTTGCATTTCTATTTTAGTTTATTCTATTATACAATACATAAACTCACCTCGTGCATAGTTGACAAAGACCGGTTGTTTGGTTAATGAGGAAAAGTGGCCAACCGTAAGCTGCTAAGGCAAAATGCATATAATGAATGGCTGCTTGAAAATGCGCCAAATCTCCATCTTCTGTCAGTGACAAAAATTTCGTTCTTGGTGTTATCGGTACACCAGACAGAAATTCATATGTATCATTTTTCCGCTGCTTTACTATAAGCTCTCTCTCAACTTTTTGAAACTTTCGTAACAATACAAGGCCTGCTACTACGTCTGACGGAACAACGTCTAAGTCACGAAAAAAATCACTAAGGAGCCTTGCTATTTCTGCAAATGAATTCTGAAATAAAAAAAATGAATTATGAATGACGTGAAACTTTTTCTTTTTATTAAAAAAATTATCCAAGATTTTATCATGCATTAAATCCCAAATAAACCTTTACTAGAATAATTTTTTCATAATAAAAGAAAGAACATTTAATTTAGTAAAAAAAAAATACCATTTTTGTTAGATTTGTATGAAAAAAAAAATTACCCGATTTCTATCAGAATTCCCCATACAACAAAAGAGCAATCTACACCTGGTGTCCCAACTGTCTTGATAAGCACGAATGACTTTTCTGCAGAGATAAGAATCTATTAAAATCCTTGAAAATTTGAAACGATGACAATAAAATGCTGATAGAAAGAAAAATATTAATATTTATTCAATAAGTACCGATGTCTCCAGTTTCTATTACGGCTGCCACTGCGTTTATAGTGCATTCTACCAGTTCGCGTTTCAGCTTCTCTCATGCTTCTCTGATAATTCTTCATTTTAACCCATGATCTACCAGCTACATCGTAAGTACACCATACTGTTATTGTTACTGATGCCAAAATGCACCAGTTTGATATGACAAGTCCTAAAATAAATAAATCTATTAAAATTTTGTTTAAAATATAAATAAATAAAAATATTTTTACAGATTTATATTAATATAAAAATAAATATATTCATCTTTTAATATTTCAGTAATAATCAATAAACTATGTCAAATTGATTTATTTCAGTTGATATTAATCTTAGAAAATCTTAGTTCAAAGTCAATGACAAATAAGCTTGATACATGCTGTCTTGCTGTCTTAATAAAAGAACATCTCACCTAACATAACATCTTTTGCTTGGTCAACTGCAGGACAACTTTCATAGTAAAACTTAAGCCATGTAACTCCTACACAAAGCCACCCTGCTTCCACCAGCAATAAAACTGCAAAATGAAAGCAAAATAAAAGATACAATTAAATGAATGAAAAGTGATAAAAATTTATTAAAACTAAAAATGTCTTGAATTCGTGAAACAAAAAAACTGATACGTAATTTAAATAATAAAAAGTCAACAATATCATCTCACACCTGGGGAGAAGTCACAGCTCTGTAAGAGTCCCACCGGGACGATAATAAACCGCAAACTGGGTTAGCACGCATAAAATGTCAAGTAATGTCTAGAGGTACGTGGATCGAACTTGGACAAACAAACTATTACTATTTTATGGCAATTCTAAACTGACTATTTGGATAAAGATTTTATTCGATTTTAAGTGTTATGATCAAACGTTACTGTGATATAACTCATATTTTTATTGATCTAAAAATAACCCAGACTTTTTTTTGACCTTTTATGAACACAAAAAAATATATTAGTCACAAAGTTGAACTGAAATATCACGGTCTTTGGACGAACAATTTAATCAATGCCCAACTGTTAGCTAAACTCTTAATTGCGGTCAGGACTCAAATGTAAAAAAAATTCTGATGTTCTGATAAACTTTTTGAGGCCGAGTATATATTATTAATTATAACTACTATATGTTTAATTTTTCTAACTTTCTAGTATATAGTGAATTTTAATACATCAGACAATCAATATAAAAATAATAACTAGTTTTCGATTCTCAAGATTTTACAAATCATTTCTGATTATTCATAGTCCAGACCAAAGATCAGCATAAATGCTTTTTTAGCAATATTTTCAAGGTAAACCAGTACTTCAAGATGAAGCAAGAAAATGAATTAATTAAGCAATGACAAATCTAAAAAGTTTGATTTTTGATCAATGAAAATTGGAAACTCATCTTGGAATTTTCAATTGTTAGAGTGATGAATACTTGAATTTCTGAATACTGGTCTCGACTATAGCTTATACATAGATCAGCAAATGATTCATTTTTAGAATAAAAATAAAACGTTTATATTGAAATTCCAGAGATTTTCTGGCATAGCAGAAGTTTTATTTACAAAATGTTGTATAATATCATGTCAACATATAGTTTATAATCAAAGAAATGAAAAAGAAAAACTTCTTACCCAATTTAATGTATAAAAGATTCTGAATAGGATCTCGTGCATCAATATCAAGAATACCTCCACGTGTAGATAGAATGCATATTCCGATTTCAACCACCAGAGATACGATAAAAATGGTAAGATAAGCCAAAACATATTCCCAAAGCAAGAGTACACAAGTAACACTTGTATCCCAGGAGATTATGCCCAAGATTACTCCTAGGACTGTTATCCTGCAAAAGTAAAAGTTAATTTATTAAAATCTAGACTTTCTACTTAAATATAATGAAATTTAAAATTTCATTTCAAATAGACATCATTCAACACTTTTGGGTATTTTTTTGTCAATAAATTTAATTGTGACAAAATTGCTCTTAATAAATATACCATAATGAAATACCTTTTATATATAGATATCTCTTATCAAAGTTAAATGTATTGACAATTAACATAATTAACATTGTTATTCGATGATTGATAGTTAAATGTGGATGGATATTGGTTACAGTATAACTGCAATTTATTACCATTATGACACAGAGAGGAATTTTATCTATAACAACATTTAAATGTAAAATGGTTCAACCAATAAGTTTGATCAATTGTGCAGTTAAAACTTCTCTAAAAAAGACATTCGTAGAATTACAGAAAATGATTTGATTATTTGCAATTGGAAGCAATAATCTAGATAAAAATGGAATCGAGTTGATTGCGAAGAAATAGTGTATCAAAGAAAACAATGAAAAAGTGGAAAGTGCTTTGACCTTATGGGTATTTAAATAGCTGCACCAAACTGCAACGATGCAGAGATTTAGCTTCAAACGAGCAAATCAAGCGTAAGCACTCTGAAAATGAAGCTCTTTGACTCGATATTTGGTGTCAAGTTGATTTTTGAATAAATCAATATACATTATTTTCATATTTTATTTTTAATGAAGATCAAGTAAGTCTTTTTAATAAATGAAAAATATTTTCCTTCATTATGAATCATAACTAAATGAGTAGTTTTAAATCCCATGAAATAATAAAAAGTAATGAATTAAATTATTATTAGACTTTTAAATATGTTAATTTTAATCCAGTGAATGGTTTTTCGATCCATCCAGAAGCATAAAAGTAAATTTTTTCTGTAAAAATATTATGTCATTGATGGATTCAAAATTCTTTACAACTTTATCTGTGATAAAGCAAACAAAAATACCTCATAAAACTGTCAAATAATTTTTATCAGTGTTTAATGTTCACTTTTATAGCAGTTATCAAAAAAGCTTCTCCCAAAAGCATCCAAGATTTCTCTAATTTTATTGACTTTTTTATGATTAAATGAATTGCCTGATTACAGAAAAATTAACCATTATTATATTATTATGTTTGCCTTAAACATCTTTACACTTTGCTTATTTATCATTCCAAATATTATACTACAGTATCTCCAATATCTTCAAAAATAAATTATATATAATTAGACTTTGGAATAATTTCAAAGTTCACAGGTAATGTTTCTTTCAATTGATCGAGTTGATGCCTACGTTATATAGCAAATGCATTGAAGAGTTTGAAGAGCAACTTGATTGTTTTATAAAATCCAACGATAAGTAAAGGAAAGGATGAGCGAGGGTTATACAGACACGAGGCCTTGGTTGTTAGTTGCGTACAGCTGTATCGATTTACTACTCTACACCGACCACGCTTTCCTGTTTTCTACTTTCCTGCTCCTCTGAATTCAGTCTGTTACAGGGTTACAATTTTTTTATACATTTTTATGACAACTCTCACTCTCTAACTAATGTACCGAGGGTTTTGAAGAATGTTAACATTCTCTGGGTGTATAAGCATTCTACAATTGATTCTGCTCTAGAAGTTCTACGAGTGGATACAAGAGACTAAGGTGACCCGATATGGTTGTAAGAGTTTGCTAACGCTTTCTAGCAACTTCATTCTTTTGATGATGGTGCACCAGTATTACATGATTATTTAGTCATGAGCTTTGTAAAAAAATTTCTAAGGGTTATTAGATAATTACTTGTGGTGATGTAGACTTTTATAGAATAAAAAGTTGGTAACTAGGTCTAGCACAATTACTGAAGTCAGATTTTATTTAAGATAAAAATTAAGATGGCTGGATTTAATGATTGGATTGCCCAAGTTATTAAATATTATAAAAATTCAATTTATCATCATAAAAGTAATGAAAATTAATAAATTAAATTTATTCTTGCATCAATATTTACATATTCACTAAATCTGTTCAATAATGAAAATTATTTGAATGAAATTGAAACTGATTCTGATTAATATTAGCTTTCAATGAAAACCCAATGATTAATTCCATATATTACTTGTCAAAATGTGAACATTTATTTTAAACTGATAATGTAAAATAATCATTTCATTACTTATATTTGATAAAAAAATTTTGTTAACCTATTTATGCAGTTGAATAATAAATATATCAATTAAAATTTTTTATTTTAAGGATTAATTACTAATTCTAACGTCAATCTGATAATTTTAAATGCACCATTTCTTAATTAATTGATAAAAAAAGACATGCCATTTCTGATGCACCAATTCTAGAGGTCAATTATCAATTCTGGAGCAATATTACTATTTCATCAAGAATGAAATTGGAATAATTTAATATTCGTTGAATCACAAACAAATCGATATATCATATGCAATTTAGTAAGTTACTAATGGAAACAATAATTATCATATGGATATTAACAAAAAAATTTATCTACAAATTAATTACAATTCCCCATGAATTGGACTTCTGTAAAATTTGATAATGGATTTCCTGGGAAAAGATAGATGCTGTAATTGGCTAAAATTGAGAGATGATGATTTTTAAATAATTCCCAGTTAATTATTTAGTCAAATACAAAATCATTTCATGATTTGTTTTCATTTTTTTTTGAGTTAAAAACTGATCAACTCACAGTTTACTTAATCTATCTAGCTCTTCAGTCATAAAAATAAAGAAAAAAACTTGATGTTATGATTTCAAAACAAGATGAAATATTTATTTTCTTTAATGGCAATATTTGGTATCAGGTAAAGCTTCTTAAAAGATTTTCTACTGTAAAATCTCTATTTAAAAATGATTCCATCGATTCGGTACTTGGAAGTTGTATAAACAGAATAAAAATAAAAGATGGTTAATATAAATTTGAAGAAAAAAGATTTACTTTAACATAATTATAAATATATGTATACATTGTAGTAAAACCATCAGATATCTTTTCCTAGACATATGTAGGTGAAAACTGATTACAAGAGATATGAATATAAAAAAGAAAACATATTACAAATTAATATTTCATACATTTCCATTCTAGTTGTACTTTAATAATTCATTTTGATACGTAATTTGTATACAACAAGCTGGTAGATTAAAATCTTCCTACAGGTAGGAATTAATTATTGAGTTCAAAGGAACCAGTGAAATGGTATAAAATATGATACTAATCATGTAAAGTATTGATAAGAATTATAATAATAACAATATGGAAAAAATCTTTTTTTAGAACTGGGATTAACTCAATACCACTATTGTTGATCTAGCTGAAGATGAAAGAATATAACCCCTCGGGTAACCTTATGAAGTTTTATTGCTTCTACCACTGCTGCTACTGCTCTCCACATAGAGAACTTATGAGCTTCAGAGATAGCTAAAAGGTATATTCTTTGGTCAGTTTGACTTTTATTTATTTCAATGCATCATCTGATTACTCTTAAGTAATTTCATTTTGATTATTTTATCATAAATTAGTTAAAGTAGTCTAGATCGTTTTGATGCAATGAAAAGCATGATGGTAGCATCACAGTAATCATCAATAAAATTTTATGAGCTATTAACTTTCAAGGTTTTTAGGTGGGATATTTGAATGAAATTGTCTTTAAGGTAGTTTTAGTTAATTTTAGAATAAGAGCAACTAAAAATTAATTAAAGTTAACTTTCGGATAACTCTATTTAGACATTTTTACTTCAAATCTGAATTAATTGAATTTAGAGTTAGCAAACCAATATGCAAAGGTAACTTGATCTACAGATGAATTACTAGACTGTAAGTAAAGTCAGACTGAAATGGTATTAATTATTATTTCCAAAAAGTAACTTTTACTGAATAAGATATTTATTAAATTAATTTATATAATAAAAAAACTTCTTAGAATTGATAATTGTTTTTTTTTTCTCAATGAAATAGAATTTGATTAAAAAATGAAATTGAAAGTGTTCGTGTGCCTTGATGTGATCACGATAATACTTGAGCATGCTTTAAATAGAAAGTTCAACTTTTAATCAAAATGATAGTGTCATCGACCCCAATAAAATTAAACACGCAATATCACTAACGAGTGTATTACGTGCGTGCACCTGTAGCCATACAAAGTATTGTTAAACCAATTACCTATCAGACCACGATGATGTCCAGAGGGTTGTAAAGAAAAGGAGAGTAAAGGAATCCGTACAATTTCGTGCGGAAAAAATTCTGATGATGAGGGATCTGTTTCATCATGAATAGCACAATATATGTAGATTAGAAGAAGCTGTAGTGAACACAGCTGGCCAGGAAAACAAAGGATTGTCTCGAATATTATGCTTCGAGGGAGACTGAAGGATCCAGCAGCATTTCGTGAGAACTGCTAAATGGACGTGAAAGCACAGTCTGGTCGACATAGAGAGAGAGTCAGAACGAAAAAGAGAGAATATAGATTGTGCCGAATCACCCACCAGGACGCCTTCAAATCCAAATCGTTGAGCTTTTCATGTGTGCAGTATAGCATGAGTGTGGGATATTCAATACATGTTAATACAACAGGATATGCCAAGGGTGAGTGCTTTTGTCATGAGTATATTGTCACTAACGTAAAGCACGTAAGCGTATTTGTTCTTTTGTCTTTTACTGTTTGGTCTCCTTTAACGGTTATATGAGTAGGAGGAACAACGATTGTACTCGTTGAATTTTGAGGCAAATTTGGTTTTGTTATTTTATACGTGACTGGTTTTCTTAAAATCATTTTATCAGTTTGTTACAAAAGCTCTCAAAGCTTACTAATCTGATCACTGCCATTTTTTTACACCTTTTGTATTTTTATTAGTTTTTTTTATCATGATAAATGTTTCATTAATTCTTGATTGATCTTTTGTGTCGACATGTTTTCTGTTGATTAAAGGTACGAAATAATTTATTGTACATTTTGAATTCTATGGGCAACTTTTTTCATC